CACACTAAATCACCTCCTCACACACACACACGCAGAAGACAGGTAATTACACCACACAAACACAATTAGTCTCTGAAGCAATTGACAGTTGTTTTTGATTTGGTGACAGGAGAGCAATCAGTGTGCGAGGCAGGGTCAAGAGGGATTATTTCCCAGGTCATAAACCACAAAGCCTTATGTTTATCTTAACCCCAGACTCAGAAGAGAACTCATTCTCTTCCACAGTAACAACCACACACCCTGCCTGCCCACAGTCAGTGAGAGGGTGAGTTATGATCATTCACATATTCCTCCCAGCAGAAAAGTAATAATCATTTTCTTCCTGTTGTACGCCCAATCTATAACACGGTAGCTGGCAGCAGTCTCACTGGTTGTAATGAAGTCATGAAGTGTGAGGTGAAGTATGTGTTTTGGTTTGTGTGTGTGTGTGTGTGTGTGTGAGGAAGAGAGAGAAATAAATCAGTTACACACTGCTCTCTGGCATTACTCATACTCTTTTCTAACAATAAATACCCCTACTGTCCCTATTTCACTTGTGTCTGTTATTTTGTTTTCTTCCTCTATATATATATATATATATATTTCTCTGAACCATCTACTTCCTAATCACTGTATAGGGTTACAAAGGAAGGTAACTGCAATTTGCTGCAATTTATTTGGCAAATGTGGCATACATTTTTCGATTTCATTTCATTCTTCATAATTACATCTGTTTATTCCAGGGATTTCTGTGGGGCAGGGCATACAGCCACAAGTGGGCAGGGTTGGGGGTTGGAGGGTGTGGATGATAAGGGGAAAAATGCAGAGTGAAACTAAGCTGAATGAATGTGATTTATGTAGGGAAAATGAACAAAAAAGAGTTTGTTGATGCTACCATGCTGACCTTTGTTTCCCTAAAATCAAACTTCCCCTGTCATTGTTTTTTTTTCATGATAAAAAAAATGTGGGTGTGGAGCATGAACTTTTTTTGGCTTCTGACGGGGGTCATGACAGAAAAAGTTTGAGAACAACTGGTGTATTCACTGAGTAGTGCAGACTTTGTATACTTACATTAAAGGTTTTAACATGCATTTGTTAAAGTGTTCTGCTGAAGATGTTATCATTCTTTGATATTTAAATCTGCTAGCAAAAAGACTACAGATAACGTCTCTTTGGTCTACTGTGGGAGTTTTAACTTAAAAAAATTTAATCTTTGACATTGAGAATAAAATCTTATTTACAATGGCGGTCTGGCAAAAGGCAAAACCTCTTGTAAACTGGCTGCATAAGATTTCCCGGTGACTGATGTTCGCCTGCCTGTGCAAAGCGTCGTCTTCGGCCAGCTAACTGATGCGAAAAGAAACCTGGTTAAAGAGCTGTAATGTGTCCGTCATGTAGTCTATTGATCACTTTCCTCTACACTCTTTGTGGTGGAGAGGTCATGACCTTGCAAGCAAAATAATGAGAGCAGTATTTGACCTGAGCAAGTGTCTTTGACATGTATGTGAATGTGTGAGTGGGTGGGTGGTTGAGAGAGAGAGAGAGAGAGAGAGAGAGAGAAAACCCACTAATTTATTCCATCTGATGAAATGAAACCAATTAAAAACATGAAAGACGAATATCAACAGTACATTTTATATCTGAAACAGATTACATTTATCATCTAAAACAGCTGTTATAACCAGGGTACCATGAAAACTTTTAAGAAATTGTGTAAAGAAAGGGATATTAATTTGTAGAGCACACTTCATACACAAAAGCAACTTAAGTTGCTTTACCTAATGCACTAAAACATTAAATAAGAGATGCACAAATTAATAAAGGGACTGTATTAAAAGAAATAATGAAGATTAACTGTAAATACTGTCCAACTGTGTGAACTGCCTGCCGACAGTTCTATCTGAGATTCAGTGGTGCTGTGTTAGTAACCGCAATCAGGACCTCATCCGATTGAACCGATTTTTTTCATTTTCAAACTTCAGCCCAAACCAATGCTGCCTCAAGTGACATCACTTGAGGACATTTATTAGACATCACACAGCCCCCTCTGGACTTTTTTCACTGTGCAGTAGTTCTCTCAGTGACCTTGACGTATTAAATCAGTGAAGTTTCCTTTTAAGAGGACTTTAATCTACCTGTGGCAGTTGTTTATTACCTGCAAGTGCAGCAAAGTGTATAAAGGTGTGTGTGTACTGTATGTGTGTGAGAATGTTGCATGCTCTCATTTTAAAGTCAGTTTGATCTCCATCATTCTACGAGGTCCACTTTATCGACAGCTGAACAGTAGGATGCTTTCAATCACACTACATTTAGACGTGGTCGTCATTGACAGTGACTGATGACTGGCAGCTGAAATTATCAGGTTCAAGTGTTATGGTGTTCAGTGATGCATGGATTTCTTTTCAAATAGCCTAGATGAACATATTTGCAGACTTAAATAGGTTTGGCTTGGTTGTGATTTGAATTAGAGTGATTACAAGGTAACTGTGGGTAGCAGGGTCTCAGAGTGAAAGAGGAAATCAACTGTTGGTTGTCGGGGGGAACATACATCCAACTGGTGTTTGTTTAGCACTGATCCTTTTATCATGTCTGTAGTTGAGACATTTTTCCTATTTTGTCTCTTTATCACGGCTCTTTTCTTCTAATCCTCTGCATCCTCATTTCCTCAGCCTGACTAGGACCCCAGCAAACTACCGAAATTCTCTTTTGCTCATTTCTCATTTAGTTACATGATTTGAAGAAGAATGTCATTACCAATGACTGCTTCGCTGGGATTGCACATAAGTGTGTGCACTGCTGAGCAACTAGGAGAAAGTTAACTTTATTGTTGGCCCACAGTCACTCTGCTGCCAGGGTGTCATCATAACCTTTGAGTTAATGTCAGTTCCTCCAGCCGCCTTAACTGAAAGCCCAAAATCACTTTTCTCTGAGCACCCAACCAAGCTCAGATCCACCTGAACTGTAGCTGGCCTTTAGAGTCACTACTGGCCAGTGAAGTGGGGAATGACTTTATTATTCCTACTCGCAGTCCACCCAATATTATCAGTGCTGTCTTTGAGACAGAACATATCTGTGACTGAAAAAACAAAAATCAAATGGACAGAGCTGAGATAAAGGAAGTAACTCTCTTATTTGTTAAACTGAAATATAAAGTTGGTTTTGCGTCTGCATTTCTGCCACATGTATCTGGTTAATTCTTGTTCTGTTATTTTATGATGAAGAGAACTTTATGACGGCTCTCACCAACCCTTCATTTCACAATTTTACAGCCACAATAAGTCTGAACCTTGAGGAGAAAGTGATCTTGCTAATCAATGTTGCTTTTTACCTTTGTCTTTTAGTGACATGAATGGAACGTTTGTTACACTGGCAAGGTCCTTAATTGTGAGGTACACAGGGAGCCCAAACAAGTAAAAGTTAATGGGTTTTTTTCTCTTTATTTTTCACTTCTCTTTCCCAGTGTCTTGTTTCTGTAAGGGTGATGGATGATGTGAAAGAACAGGAAATAAAGTATTTGAAGATGTGTTGTCCCTTTGGGCAGACAAAGCAAACTGAAAAATCCCGAACTCAAATATTTTACTACGCCTTATGTGCTCAACTTACACTCAACAGTAAAATGTGTGCAAATTTGCCAAGTAAAAATTGTATAACTGTAACTGTTTTAACAAAGCACTGAGCTGAAGATATTCAATACGAGGCACGTCTTGCTAATCAATTTTACAGATATTAAATTCAGTCTGGTCATGTTAATATAATATCAACATATGGACATGTTAATATTTAACAGCCTTTTTTTTTTAATAAGTGAGAGACAAATTGTACCTCCTGCCCCATTTCTTTGGTTTTAAATGATTTGATTTGGTATTTTATTGTCCCATATGGGAACATTTCTGTCTACCTGCATACATAAAAAAAGCAGCAGCACAGAAAATTGTACATAAAAAAGTCAGAATACTGAATACAAATCAATGTTGTTATTTTGAATAAACAGAATTCTGCAATTACATTTTTTTTTTAATAGCTGTAGAAACAATTTTCTGTTCTTGGCCTAAAAGAACAGCTATCAGTTGTCTTCCTGAGATGAGGAAAGTGACTTTGAGAAAATATATTTCAGCAGTCGACAAAACACAGAGGCTGGACCATTTTACAGCCCAAATCTCTGACAATATCCATTGACCTTTACATGTTTCCTGTATGTGTTTCCTTTTTCAGAGTACTCTCAAAATCTTGGTGAAATAATAGAACCTTCCATTCTTCTTGCACACTTGTGTTCGTAAGGAATGTAATTTCAGGTTATTGTCAGATATTTAGGGACACAGAACCTGAATTGCTTGATAGTTAATGAGTGTCGATGTATTGGATGATGGTTCCTCCTGAAATCAAAGCACATTCTTGAAGCAAGAGCATTACAGTGAGTAGGCCTACACTCTGATTCTCCTCCACAGATGACTGTGAACATGAGCCTGCAGACATAAGGCTCACAAATTCCCACACGCATATGTGATGATAGAGGTGAATGGTCACAGTCATTAATGCTTGCATGTGATGGATAGTATTAATAAAGGAATGGACAGCAATGTTCATCTAGGCAGAGCAACAGAGTCACACATTCATCTCTAGAGCTGAACATTACCACTTAACTTTATGGCCCTGCTGCCACATGGTGCAGGCTGGGAGGTTGCAATTCTGTAAAATAAGTCCTGATCTTAGGTCTGTGGGCTGTGAAAGACTGGTGGATCAAACAGTAAAATACGTCCTTGTTCTGATGAGGGTGAATCCCCGAGGCTGAAGCTTGATTCAGTCACAGCCAACATCATCGCAGCATGAACTGGCGGCAGCACAAAACAGAGACAAAGATCACGCTGTTTGTGTTATGACGTGGACTGAACACTTCCCACAGGGCCTACAGCTGATTTATGATATGACAAAAATAATAATAACAATAATCATACAAATGTGGTGTGATTTACAACAACCTGATTTACTATAAACTTTAACAAAGTTGATGGTCGGACACAAACTCATATTTCACATTAGTCTTTTAATTCCACAATCATTAGTTAGTGATCCACAAAATACAAATCCACAACACCCTCCAGTTTAATTTCTGTGCATATGAATAAAGTTTTGGGGTTAACATTACTTACTATGGCTGATCTAAATTTTTAAGGAACATTTGATCATAAGACCATGCAGTTATGGTGTTTGTGTCTCTTTTTTTTTTTTTTTTAATAAATGTACCCTTGGATGAAGGTTCAAGGCTTAATAGGATGCTCAAGAGAGGATCATTCAGGTTGTTGGCATTGATATCATTCACACGTTACTACACTGCCCCCTAAAGGACACATCCTGTAAGGCAACATGACAATGTCTCTGTCAACAGAGCAGGCACAGAACAGTTAATGTATTTACTGAACTTTCAAACATATCATTGGCCTGAAAAGAGTCACAAAACAAAAGAGACTGCCCTCAATTCGAACCATTAACATTGTAAATTCTAAACATGTTAAAACATCTACAATTTCACTTTTAGAACATGTTTTAGTATGGCAGCATGTTTTTCTACGCAGCAGGTTAGTCAGTATGTCAGTAAAGTGCCTCATAAAACAGAGTAGCATCCTGAGTCCTAAAGTCTAACACAAATTCAGCTAAACAAGACAGTAACATGACAGGTGGTATGCTACATGTACACTTGTATGGTGCAGCAGTTCTCTACAGGCATCTTTATTCAAAACAGTAAGAACATTAAGAGATCAAGTGGTCATACAGAATTTCACTGGTGGAAAACTAAAAAGAGCCACTGTCAAACTGTACGCTCATCAGGATTTCAACTATCAACTATCTTCTTCACAGTTTGTCCACAAATTCCTCCCCTTACTTAAAAAAAATAAAAAAATAAAAAGACAAAAGAGCTTGGTCCTCTTCTCCAAAAGCTTTGATAATGAAATGATGACAGAGGATCAGAAAGAAGTAAAGGAGAATCAGGTAAAAGTTACAGACATTTTAACCTGCTCCTGGTTGATTGACAATTCTAAAATCATTCATTTAGAAAGGCAAACAAATAAATGAACTTGATCAATTCAGGGTGCATCACATTTGGTCACCACTGTTGGGAATGATTACTATGTAGTTGCATAAAAGTTTGTTCAGTCATGTTTTAGCGATGGCTTTTGGGAAATATTATAGATTGTAAGAATGGCACTGATGAAGGCTACACTGTGTTTGTTTTGATTCTGTACTTCAACCTAATTACAGACTATGTTCTGGCCTGACACAATGACACAATGACACAACACAAGTGGTGGAAAGGACTAATAAGGAAACACATTCCTGGCACAAACTTTAGAGCCACAATAGACCTTTTTCACAGCAGCCATTTTTACATGAAATAGTAGGGTCCTTAATATCCATAATATCCAGTGATATTAATTAAGGTTCCATTTCATTCAGCTCAAAATAAATCTAGGTTATGCTATTGTGCATGTTGGCAAAATGGCTGCTTTGAAAAAGGTATTTTGTTACACACTCAAGACGGTCTATACCACTGGGGTTAACCGGGCTTTAAGAACTGCTGAGATTAAAAAATAAATCACAAAACCTGATCTGGAATTATTCAAAGTTAACATTAGTCTGTCATCAACATGACAGAATTGCTCCTTTTAACACTTAAAGGGATACTTTGGAGTTTTTGAAGTGGGGTTGTATGAGGTACTTATCAACAGTGACTGTATTTCTACAGTAGATGGCCGTCAGTGCGCCCCCACTTTGGAGAAGCAGACTGGAGTGCCAGCACAGAAGCACAGCAAAGTACTGCTGTGGACGATGGGGGCGCAAAAAAAGGCCCACCTCAAATACTTTATATCAGTTTAACGGTATGCTGCATTTAGAATATTTTCACAGCTTTGCCAGGCCGTCAGACAGACCCTTAGCTTTGCCACTACATTTTCTCAACCGTAGAGCTTTCTTTTGAGGATGGATACTGAATGTGTCAAAGGGGGGGGATGGAAACTACAGTCCTGCATAGCCAGACTCATTTCCACAGCAGTGTGTCAGCTCTGGGGAAATTATGTCCACAGCTGTTTAAGGTCAATATCACAGAAAAACAGTCAAATCTATACGGTGAACAGAACACTTCTTTGTTTGAAGATCCTGGAAAAACACAAGCAAACACCATCTTTTAAATCTTTAGAATCGTGTAGTTTGATTTCAGTCCGATTTTGCAACTTTGATCTGAGTCGTAATACATTGAAGTAAAGCTAAAGTAAAGCATGAAAAGTATTTTAAGTATTGCACAAACTGATTTGCATTTTTTTTGCCCCCGTACACACCAGTTAGCTTCTGTGCTGGTACTCCTGTCTGCTTCTCCAAACTGACATTTGGAGGCATGCTGACCGCCGTCTACTGTAGGTAATACACTAACTACGGATAAGAACCTCATACAACCCCTCTACAAAAAAACAAAACCATTCCTTTAATCTCAATAACTCTCATCCTGTCACGTAACTAACGTACCTGAAATTACTGGATACTGGATAACCACATTAAACATCTGCTTAAGCTGATCCTAATCTCCTCTCTAAATCTGGCAGGTCATTCTAATAATGCCATTGCAGCAGCTTTATATTTAGGATCATATTGATCATCTACATTGACAGAGGAACTCTTCTGTTAATTCCAGTATTTGTCCCCTCAAGAAGTTGCTACTCATAATGATCAGAATAATTTCGCTTCGAGCCGTTAGAAAGAGGTAGAGCAAAAGGAGAAGGAAAACATGCACAAGCCTGTAATAAACTGTACACGACTCCCTTTCTTCCCTTATTTTCTTAGAAATGCAGAGAGTAGCATGATCAAGGTGTGTTGTGAGCAGCACTGTTGGTGGGTGAAGAGCAGCTGGTCACAGAGTGTGCTCAGGAGATAATGCAAATTCCAAAGTATTTCTTGAGCTGCTCGAGGAAGATGAAGGTGAGCACTGTATGAGGAATCAAGCGGATCCCTGCGGGGACGAGACCCTGCAATGAAAATATGGCATAAGATTACTATTATGGCATTTTCTTCCATTACACCTGTCAATTTAAAGTCACTAAGTCTAATAAGTACCTTTGTATTAACTGTAAAACTAACTAACTGAAAATGCAGGGATCATTTATCACATTAGTAACAGCATGCTTACAAAATTGTTGTCAAAAACCATGCGATTTGACAAATTTATTTTGATTTAATTTATTTTACATTATTTTTGAAAGTACAAAAAAAAGTTATTCAAAGTGACTACATGTGACTGATTGACAGCTGAGCTGGCAGAGGCATGCCATGAGAAGACAGTGTTTAGTTAACAGTGGAGCTAAAGACAAAGGATGGATGCCATTTAGCATCTAAAACAAACCAAACTTGACAACTGCAGGTAAGTTTTTAAGCTGCTCCAAAGTGCTACATCACTGGCTGCTATATATATCCAGAAAACTGGCAGTGAATGTTTCTTTGGTAGCTTGTTCAGCTAGAAAAGACATGTGTCCATGCTTGTAGATAAGAAGGAGGCATGAGCTGAAAAGCTTACGGGGTTGTTGTGTCGTGGCGTAGTGCTACTGTCGGCCAACAACAGTTACAGATTTAGGCAATTTGACTGGTTACATGCAAATAATTTCTATTGTAGACCAGGTCTGACACTGACACATCAAAATGCTTTCTGCAAGCATGTGTATAGTTTCTGATGTTTTAATGTTTATGATGAGTGTGTCACCTTTAAGACTCTGCAGTCCCCATCTCTTTAGGTATTGAACTACAGGTGTTAAACTACAACAAACCAACTTTGTCTTGTGGACCAGAATTCTCTCCAAGCCCAATTCATGTTGTTTTTTTTATTGCTATATGAATGGTTTTATCCAGAAGTCTTTTCTATGACTGCTTTTCTGCAGCTAGGGAACAGCTCTCCTCTAACTAGTCAGTCTGAATTAAGTCGTCCAAGAGTGATCCAGACAGTGAGTTAAATAACTGAAATAATTAAGTATAAGCACCTGTAATAGAGAACCTCTGATTAAAAGTGGCACTAAATAACCACAGTAGGGTTAAGGTATGGTCTGTGAGATTGTTTTTTTTACCTTGTAAAATGCCATGGGACCCAGTTTGGCAGTTTCTCGTAGGCAATGCGTCACCCCCTGAAAAGAGAGACACACACTGGGTTAGAATGAACAGAGAAATAAAGAAGATGGATAAACAAAAACAGAGGAATGAAAGGATTAAAGGAGACAATACAGAGGGACTCACTGTGTACTCTCCCTTTGAGCTCATCAGTCTCGTCTTTAGTACATCCAGAGGTTGACACAAGAATGTAGCACACCCTCCCTGCAGAGGAACAGTTTATCACTTCACAAAAGAGCCCTGTAAACTTTACACTTACTCAATCAGGTGTCTGGGGCACACAAATAAAACCTGATACTTACGGCAATGAAGCTGGAAAGAAAGTGTGTGAGTATGTTATCTCCCATTATGCCTGTTCCCAACACGAGCTGCTTAGCCTGGTCATAACACGCCAGCTAAAAAGGTGGGGAAAACAAGACGAGATGGAGAAAATGTGGGACATATTAATGATCTCTTTACTACATGAAGCCTGTCTATCTGTTTAATAAGCCTTTTTTGAAAATTGAAAAAAGACGTAGAAAGTATACATATTTGTAAAAAGGGAAGGGGTAACAGTTGTCAGAAAATAAATACTTAAGTAAAGTTCAGATACCTGAAAAACTACGAGGTACTGTGACAAAGTATTTGTACTTCATTACTTCCAACCTCTGGTTCTAGGAAGCCACATCTTTCTGCAGGCAGCCTTCAATAATCTGTTTATAGTATATTTAGAAAAGTTTTGTGCTAACATGCAATGTATTCTATCCTGTACGTTACTGTGTGGTTGACAGTGAATGCATATAACCGAATTCTTTTGCTAAGATGTAAGTTGTATCAGTGGCACAGTCTGAACTCAATTTCCTTTGGATATGCTCGCCAACACAGACTTCATTAAAGTGAGGCTGAGGTTTTATGGATTATTGCATTATGCATTGCATAAATGGAGCCATTTGAACATGCAGCCTATTCATCTATTAGATTGATTACCTTTATTTAACTTGATTTAATTCCATGATCTTATTACACGACTTCTAGCTGGATTCTGAATTTGATATGACTGATAAATATCTTCTTAATGTATTTAAGAGGAAAATTACGGAGCCCCTAAAGGGACATGGGGGAAAAAAAATAAAAAATGAAACGTTTCTAGTGCGCACTAGATACTATCTTGTGCTCACTAGATCCCTATCTAGTACTATCTAGTGTGCACTAGATACTATCTAGTACTATCTTGTGCGCACTAGATACAGATCCCGTGTTGTGGCGAATCAACACATGGCTAATTTTAATATTCAAATGAGTATTAAACTAATTTGTCTGTAACTAAAAAATAAATGTAAATTAATCTGTAACCTTTTTTGTTACAGTCCGCATTTAAATGCCCTGTCCAGAAGCCGGACACTCATTTGTCCTCCTTTTGAGAAAATAACAAACACGGTGCGCCTTTTGACACATTACCTTGTTAGTTTAATACTTATTGGCTTAAAATGTGTGTCAAAATAAGTAATTTCATTGGTTACATTTTCGTGTAGTGACCTATCAACACATGGCTAATTTTAATATTCAAATAAGCCATTTGTTGATTCGCCACAACACAAGATCCATATCTAGTGGCACTAGAAATGTTTCATTTTTTTTTTTTTTTTTTCCCCCATGTCCCTTTAGGGGCTCCGTAGAAAATGGATCTAGAATATACTTCTGTTTGCCCAAAGATTAAGAAACGGATGTTCTCTCGGGTCTCTTTTATACCTGCAGGCATTTAATAAAAAAGGTACAAACATTATACCGGTAATACCAAAAACAAAAGGTCTCTGGTCATATCCTAGCACTGTGACTTGCCTGTCCCACAGTGACCATGGCTCCTCTGCTGGAGGCCATGGTGGCTCCTGAGAACAGTCTCCTCATGCCCTCTGTGGGACAGGACACAGGTCAGAGGTCAGACATGATGCCACCATGTGGGTTGCATGAAGTTATACACACACATATACATACAGATTATAAAGCCCCCTGAAGCAAATTGCTATTTGTATATAAATAGAATTGACTTGATTTGACAGAATGGACAGTATACTGCTTGGGATTTACCTTCTCTGAAGACTCTGAAGAGTCCATCAATGGCATGTTTGTAGCTGAAAGAAAAAACAAACATTCAGATTGAATTAAGATAAGAGATTAATAACCTCAATCTGACCATTTTAGTAAGTTAAACACTTACTTTCTCCTCAGCTCTGGTGGTAGTTTCATGTCGTTCTGCATCCTAGAAGAAACAACAGTTCAGATCCTTTAAATCCACCATTTGCTGCACCCGAGCCAAAAACCTAACCGCAGCTTGTTCAGAATAATTTGTGAGATTTAAGAGAATTTGAAAATTGTCATGTTACCTGACATTCACCATGTCAGCTGGCGTGCCAACAAACCCACCAGTAAAACCTGTTGGCAGAGAAATGTTGTTGACACACAATCCTGTATGGCGGGACACTGCATGTTTACATATGTGTGTGTGTGTGTGTGTGTGTGTGAGTGTGAGAGAGAGAGGAGAGGAGATGCAGGATGTGTGTGTTCCCACCTCCAAAGGCTCCCAGCAGGACCTTCTGGTAAAAGGGCATGGGGCCCTGGCTTGAGCTGCCCATCATGTCCCTTACGGTCTCGTAGATTGCAAATCTGGTGAGGGAATAGGACATCTGAGAGGAGAGAAGGAGAGGAGAGGAGAGGAGAGGGAAGAAAAACAATGAGTCCAGGATATTCTATCCTAAACTCTCCTCACTATTTAACACTTTCTTTTTACAACCACTAGGAGGAGCTTCTGGCAAAACAACCAATCTAAAATACAAATGGGTTTTTATCTTTTAACGTCTGTGGCCAGAAACTAACCAGGATGCACTGCTGTTTACAGGATACAACTTATCCTACCCTTCATCACCATTTTGTGGTTTATACTTTCTTCTCTCTCTCCAATCATATTATACACAGACCTGCTGCACACACGGCTAATCTCCTCTGCTTTACAAAACTAATCTATTGATCTATTGATAGTACCCTGCAGCCATATGGAATAATAGTAACTTCACATGAAGTCAGTATTAGCACACAATATGACTGAAGGGCCGACTGAGGCAACAGCATATGAATCTCATTAGAATGAACCTGTTACAGAAAATCTACATAAAAAAACTTGTTCTAAGGTTGTCTGTTATACTCTCTCTTCCTCCAACCAGAAAAATGCTGATGGCCATAAAATGTTTTAGTTATTATGTACAGTATGTTTATTTCAGTTAGAACTGAGACACACTGAAAAAGGCAAAGTGGAGAAATTCTTGACTTCTTCATCACTTCTCACTACATATTTCTTTCTATTTCTATATCTTATATTTTATATTGTTATTATCGTTTGGTAATATTCTTATACTACTGTTAGGTATTTTATTTAAGGATCTAGCCACAGACTGCTGACTGCAGACAGCCATCAGCAAACTAGTTAAAAAAACTAAAAAGTAACACTAACAAACTAAAAAGAGCGATGCGTTATCAGGACGCCCCTGTTTGCAACTTTTTATTGCTACCATCTTGGCCAGGTCTATTTCACAAAAGAGGTTTCCTCCCCCAGTGGGACTTACCTGGTTAAATACAGGTTGAAAAGAAAATACAAAAGACAAACTAATCAACACTACACACACACTACACACTACACACACACACAAAACCGTTAAGCATGCATACAGACATACATACTTGTCTACAAAGGGAGGCAGAGAGGCCATTGTAAAGAGCCAACACCCCATCGCTCTTCACCACATGAATGGCCATCCCCATCATCCTCTTCTTCACCTCCTGCTGTGTCTGAAGGTGCACCTGCAAAGACAGTTGTGTATTAGCATTGGTATCATTTTCAAGGCCAAGCTTGACAGAACACAGACACAACAAATCTGCAGACACAGACAATGTGTGGTGCTGTCGCAGCTGACACAGCAACCTAAGTAACCTTTTGTTCCTCCTTGCGGCGTAATGTAGACACCAGCTCATATATTTAGGTGTGAGTCAATCTTGATAAGGCCCCATAATATGAACATGTTTACAACCTGGTACAAAAAACCCATTTAAATTATATCAAGGTTTAAAGTTTGAGTGACGGGAGGTGGTTTTCAGCAACCAGGCTTCATTCAGCCCACCTCAGCTACACACACTCCAAGATGGCGACAGCCAGACACTGAGCGTCACAACTGCTCTTTACAAACCTATTGGCGACACCACAGAGACTACATCTATTTATTTATTAATTACACAGTCTATGGCTTTCTGTTCTTGATGACATCACTATCCAGTCCAACTTTATTTGTTAAGCACTTTAAAACAACCAAAGTTGACCAAAGTGCTGTACAGGATAATAAATAAGACATCATGAATAAAAGACATAACAGCTCACGAGGTGCCAAATTACATATACAATACATCAATAAAACAAAAAGACATAAAACATGAGTAAAAATAATAGCCACGCAATAAAAAGCAATCAAAATAAGAAATTAAATCAAGTAAATAAAGTCGACATCTTACTAGGTGTCAAAGGTGATGACATCGTCAGGGTTATTTTTCAGTCATTTAAGAAATCATCTCCAGAGTCAGGACATCATTCAACTGTTACTGAGGAACAGAGTAATGTGTAACAGGCAGTTATAATACCATACATGTTTTCTAAATGTCTTAACCCTGTGTGTGTGCGTGTGTGCGTGCGCGTGTGTGTGTGTGCGGTCCTTCTCAAAAGGTCAACAACTCTACAATGTGACCTTTGTCCTCTTTTCTAATCAGTATTTGAGTTTGAAGGCCACTAAGCCCTTCAAAACACAATATTTGTCATGTCTCATCACTAGCTTGCATTAAGATAAGATGAGACAATCTTTTATTCATACTCAGAGGGACGGTAGTCGACCAAAAGCTCATTCGTTTTGCTGATATTGGATTTCAGGCTATTGTTGTTACACCATGTGATGAAGCTCTCCATCAGTCCTCTGTACTCCTCTTTGTTGTCTTTATTGACGCATCCAACAATAGTGGAGTCATCAGAAAGCTTCTGGAGGTGGCAGACACCTGAGTGACATAATCCGTTTTGAACCTAAGCCAGATGGTAAAAACAATACCAGCGCGTATCTAAATGACAGAGTTCTTAGTGCCTTTCTGGTTGTAAATTCCTATGGAGTGGACATGGAATGTGTTTGCATCTCCTTGATCTAAATTGTATCACCTCCAGAGAGAAACTCCTCTGGAATCCACATCTGGCATTCTGACACCCCTTCCTCTAAAGTGTAAATTACGATGTTTTCTTTTGATAGTGGACATTCCAATCTAGGAAGCAGTAACAACAGTTGCACGGATATAGATTTAGTTCTGTTGGAGTATTATGGTAAAATTTCATCTCCTCCTAATTAACAGATTGCCATCCAGCATGAGAAGGACGCAAATGTAACGTTTGTCTGATGTTTCTGTCATCAGATTGGACTAAGTTACAAAATCATGTGTAAAATGTCTGAATGTTTGATGGAGCCACAGTGCCACCTTTTGGTAAGGTTCTGGTATAGCATAAGGTATTTTCAAAATGAACTTTGTTTGATAACTGTATAGTAATACAATAAGTAAATGCCTGACACATATTTGTTATAACAAGGATTAAGCTAGCACTATACGAAATATGTACAATCCCTAAGTGCTACTTATGTGCGTGTTTAATGATTATGATTTAATGATTTTAATCAGTTCCACTTTTCCTTTACATTTAGTAATTTCGGTTATGTTAAAACATGTGAACTGTGTATTAAGTCATGGTGGGTTCTGTGAACGGTGAATTATGATCTTGAAACTTTAAAACACGATAGGAGTAAGTTGATAAAGTTACGTATATCAAATTATCACTAGAGGAAGTGACGCGCGCGGTCAGCTCCTCTCGTCCAGTTCCGCCTCAAGAATAAAAGCTATAAGAGATAGACTCCGGTCACTCTTCGCTTTTCTCTTCTCTTCTCCCCACTCGTTATTTATTCTCGCTCTTACTTTAATTCAATTTCCGTACTTTATTTTACTTCGTTTGCGACACGTGTTGAATTTTTCCTCAAGTAATAACTTGCCGTGCTGAAATACTTTCAAGTACTTTTATTTTGAAAGCTCAAGACACAAACAAATTTCTTCTTTCATATTTTTGTAGTCTTATCGTCAAGTATTGTCGCCTTTTCACAGAAAGTGAATTTAATCAAATTCTTGGACTTTCTTGGAGAATTCGCCAGGCCAGCGTTTCATCCTCCAGTTATTTTCAAACAAGAAGCTGAATTAGTTTACAATCAAAGCTGAAGACCAACCACTCTAAGACATTTATCATCAGCCAGAAGGACGTCGCAGTAGTTGACTGCTCAAGAAGACGTACAAACGTTTCCAGCCGGCTTTTGGAGAGATTGCCACTGGTACCAGGGACGAGACACAACTTCCCTTCCCTGTTGGATCAGTGACGCAAAGCCACAGTTGAGCTGAAAGCCAAGGACCTGGAATCCTTCCAAGTTCCATCTACAAACAAAGTAGGCTGACTCTCCGGTACACGGCCGGATTCACACACATGAGAAAGAGCTGGTGTCTGTCTATAAGCTTTGATTCCCATCTTTTAAGTTTAAGAGAAATTTTGATTAGGGCCTCTCAGTTCTAAAATTTACTCTCGTAATATTTTAAACTTACTGCCACATCGCAAAATCCACCATCGCTCCTGAATCACCTAATAGTAATAATTCATATATTGTCCACATATTCTGTTACTTGTTGTCATTTGTTTGTTTGTCATTTCATGCTATTTACTCTGCATTAGTTTAGTTAATAAACATATATAACCGTATGTCCTTGTTGGTGCAGGTTTGATTTGATGCGGGGAAATCGATGAATCGTGTAAAAGAAATCACTACTTCAGAAATATGAGATTAAATATAGATTTTGAAACTTAATAAATTGATTTGAAATTGATTTGATTAGATCTGTGGAATAATTTCCTCCGGATTATTCCAGTAGCTAAACAACGGAGGTGGTGCCCCATTTACGAGTGTATTATTAATCCCCAGTGATTAATTACCTTTCTAATGAAAAAGTAGTGTATCCCCTACAAAGGGAACCACAATGTGCTAAAATGACAATGTCATATTGAGCCATCGCCAAGCAAATGTGTACAGGTAACACTCTCACCAAGGTGAAATATTACACCCAGATGAGTTGATAAATGTCTGGCTATAACAATGTTTTTTTTAGGTGAGGTCAGACAAATCTTGTTTAGCAACCCTGCTGGTATCAGTTCAGGGAAACAATAAAGCAGTTTATCTGATGGTGCAAAGGAGGTCTGGGTTAACACAAGGAGGAAATCAACAGAATATGACTAAGCAATTTTTGCCATGCGATATGTGTGTTTGGTCAAGTCCAACTTTCCTGCAAAAAACCACATTAACATAGTGTCTCCTCTAAATGACACTCCTTGTAAGTTTAGATGCTCTAATGTTAGCCTGCTTTTTACAGGAATGTAGTAAGTGCATGGCATTATGAAGCCCTTCCCTTTTTGAGCTTTGTAAACTGTTGCTACAAAGTCACCAACCTCCCTGACTGGTTACAAAGAACAGGTTACATGCTACGAGGGTGAAAATACCTTAAAAATACTTTATGAATATGGCTTTATCATCAGGAGCAGCTCAGCTTAAGTGACCTGTGCTCATTGTAGTAACATTTTGTGTTTTGTTTTGTTTTTTTACATAAAATGATCCTTATTAATATTACGATAATGATTTAAGCCACATCAGCTGCACAGAAAGGAACAATGTTACATTCAGGATGCTAACAACACACTACTTAGAGTTGCCTTTTAACCTCCATTCATGCTGAACATCCTTCAAATCTGCGAGAAGATGAGATGCTTGTGGCACAGCAAAACGGGTGCAATAGCAATTCACGTTACGTAAATGTGAAGAATGTGCACTGTGAGAAGTAGATGACTGTAATTACCTCCAGCTTTTATCACACACACACACTTTCTCATTTCTAGGTAATCACATTACTTAGAATCGCTTACCCCACCTATAAAATTATCTGAAATGAACCCTTACCAACACAGTGCTTCCACAACACTGGCACTTTGTTCACTGTGGCTGAACTCACTAAATACACACAGGGCTCCCACACTCATATACATGATAATTCAATTCCACTATGCATGCATGCATTATTGCAAGTTTTAAATATTTTATGTTATTTTGTAATTAGCAACACTTGAATGGTATCTTTTAAGAAAAGTCCCCATGTGAGACCAGCTAGAGCACCTCTTCATGAAAGCACCAGTCCTGATACAGTATGTCGTAAGCTCCATCCAGTAACACTCCTCACCTGACTGCCACTGCAAACAGCAGTATGATTGGTGTAAAACCTGTGTACTGTGTACAGTACAGGCTGCAAGTATTTGTACAGCGATGCATGCTTTTGTTCTGCTGGCTCTGTACTCCAGCACAATGGACCTGAGGACAAGCAATGACTTTGAGGTTTACGTATGACTCTCAGCTTTCATTTGAAGATGTAACATTCATATTAGGTGACAAGAGTAACTTGTAGCCTTGCCATTGTCCTCTGCTGTATAATCCCAAAAGTTTAGTGGACAAAGCATAAAAAAGGAGCTTCAAATATTTAACCCCATAGTCATTAATTAATTTGAAATCCAATCTGCTGGAGTCCAGAGTACAGCACAACAGAAAATGTGTTATGGTCCAACTACTTAGGGTCTGTACAATCTCTCCTCATGGCCACATATAAGTCATGTGAGGATACCGACTGCTGTGCTAATCGTACTTTGTAAATCCCTGTTTTTCAGACCATGTTTTCCATTTAAAGTGCTACCAGCTTCTTATTCTAGGTACCATGCTGCTTTTATCACAGCATGAAATAGTGTCCTCAGTCACTGCTCTTGTGCATTAATGCTCACAATCATAAAATAGCGTAAAGTGCAAGGTGAGCCACTAAGGAACAAAGGATGCAAATAAATGCAAGAAACTGTTTTATAACTGACTGAGTATGAGTGTGAAATTAGGCACTTGAAGAGAAAGACATTTTTAAGATATGGTGAGAATAACAAAACCATATTCTCTGGTCCAACCAAAACCACTTATTTGCACCTAAACCTTCATGCATCACAATTTTGCACCTGAGCAGTAAACAACAGAGAGTATTGATTAATCATACTGACTGGCACGGGACAGTTGGGGGAAACGTGAGGCCCTCCCTCCTGAAGATATTGCGTAAGGTATAAGAGACAAGTGCATGCTGGTGTTTCAAAAAACAAGGGGAAGTTAGCTGATGCGGTTTGGGCCTGTGTGTTTAGCAACATGGTCACACACACCTCATGGAGGCAATTAGGGTACCTTTAAACCCATCGCGCTTTAGTGCCACACATACGCAAGTCAGTGTGACACTTTCCAAGGATATCATAATCTCTGATAATCTGTCCATAAATCCATTTAAAATTCATAGAGAAAGGACACTCCTTATACATGCCAGAGCTTGCCTGAGAATCATGATGTTTTCAAGTTTCCTTCAGTATAAAAGTAATCCTGGGACAGTGTATATATACACACTGCTAACAGGAACAGCTAATAGCTAATTCTGCATACTTTTAATGGTGTCAGTTTACCAAAATGTAAACAAATAGGCACAAAAAAAATAGAATTACCACAATTATATGCCTCCTTCAACCAGTCAAGTGGCAGTTTAGATCCATGTATGTCCATTTTACAAGAATGGGACGAAAGGACGGACAACCCAAAAACATAAATGCCTCTGGCCCCTCTCTCTCTTGGAATTTTAAGATGAGCAGATGTACAAAAAAATAAATAAATAAAAAAATCACCTCCAATGCAAAGGAACCAAACCAACTCAACTCAGTGCAGCAGATCCTAATTCTAGGCTAGAAACCGTCTGTTGACAGCTGAGCAGCACTGAACTGACCTCGACCCAGCTCAGTTGATTTTCCTTTTCCTTAAATTTGAGTCTCTTAGATGTAGGTGTAGAAGTTTTTAATTTTAACAATTCTTTAAGTTAGTTTTTTACCCACCTAAGAATCTAAACCTTTCAACATCACTGTTGACTGGTAGAGTTCAGACAGTAGGTCCACTCAACTCTTATTTAAGTTTAATGTTTTGATAGATTTGATCAAAACTCCATCAAATCCACTAAGTTCACCTATTGGGACTGGGACAGGGAATCCATGGGACAAAGTATCAGGTTGTGTAGGTTAATAAAGCCTCCCACACTCACTGTAATGGTGAAAAACACTTTGCAGTTCTTAGTGGTTCTTGAAAGAACTTCCACCTTTTGAACCCGATACTGGATACTGAGTTCTGGGAACACAAAGTGTTTCAGATTGTGTCTTTCTTTTGGCAAACAGTAAAATGCTGTATGAACCTACAAAAATGCTCATCCTCACTTTTATTATTTCCAGAAAAGAAAAAAAAAAAAGATAAGAATTTAGTTTGGGAATCAGTCTGAAGCAATAGCCAAGATACCAGCCTCTCTCATAAGCATGCTGATAGAAACACACTTTTGAAAATACGACAGTTCCAAAACTAAGATTGTTCTCAGCACTACAAGTAGAGCAGTAACTTGTAGTGCATTTCAGCAACTTCAGTCATATACTACAATGTTAAACGACATCACCAGCTAACAAGCAAGTTAGGGCAGAAATGAAGCCCTGAGTTTTAATTCAATGTGTTCATTACCAGCCTTGTCTACATAATTAGATACCACATGACTTCCTGAGCACCAGTTACTGCTATCAGGGTCACATGCTGCCGTTTTCAATGCAAGCAAAAAACAGGGAACGTGTAAAGGGAGCGAGGGTTTTTGGCACTGGACAGATATGTGCTGATTTACTGCTGTGCAGCACAGCAAGGCGAACATTAACAAGACTGAGCATGCATGATCTCACACACACACACACACACACACACACACACACACACACACCCTGCTTTCAGGCGATGACAAGCTGCTAGTGGAGGGGAAAACACATGTCCAGTAGTCAGTGTGATCTTATAATAATTACCATTTATCTCAATAAAATTATTAAATGCAAAACTAAGGCTACATAGGGACATTCTGTGTAATTTCTAATATCATTTCAGCTCGGATAACCAACTTTCACTCTACCCTAACCTGTGCCCTATATTTTGAAACAGCCTTGAGTATCCAAACACACATTATAGTAATACCACAGCCGACATGTGATACCTCAGAGTACGGCATGGCCACTACAAGCTCACTGCAGCTGTAGCAAGCACACAACAAGGACATCTAATAGGAACACAGTACTGTGATGAGCGGCCAGGAGGTAAATAACAGTCTAGCATTCCCGGAATGACTCCTGCTGGGAAACAGCTGTAGCCTGGTGTTTCGGGCCTGCGCTCCTCTGCACACATGCGGAAGGATACAGACTAACTTGAGCCCCTCACCTTGATGAGATCCAAAGGATGCGTGCAGCAGGCGGCTCCGCAGGACGCCAGCCCACCGAAATACCACCGCGACATCCGTTTCTCGGTCATGGTGCCGCGCTATGCCGTAGTCTGATGCAGCAGCTACAGCGGTGACTTCCTGCCTCCCAGTCCGCCTTGACACGCTGCGGTCCGCCTGCTCTGTCGGCTTTCTGGCCTGAAGGCTTCAGCTGGCTGTAGCTTGTGCTTTACAGGACACGGCTAACCTCGTTAATCTTCAAACATTGCGATAAGAGATGCTCCTCGGACCGGGGGGGACTTTGGGCTCCAGCGGAGTCGCGCGCACTCACGAGACATTGCGTGCGTGCTTGCGAAAAAGAGTGAGTGTGAGTGCGCGCGCACTGTCTGCTGTGTTTGGTTCACGGTGTGCAATAGGAAGCGGCTGAAGACAGAAGAGAAGAGCGCAGCCAATTGCCACCGTGGACGGTGGAGCTGCCTACCCGCCCCGGGCTCCGAGATCCAAAGGTCGACAGCGGGGTATGAGAATGCTGAAGCCCCGAACTGCACGCTCTCTCTCTCAGCCCACTTTCACCGCTCACAACTGTCATGCGATTTGTTTTAAAGTGGTACGCACCTCCTCCCGCAGCTGTGGGGGCCACACACTGACCCTGTGTCTTTAAGAAGACAATCAGTCGACTCTCTCAACCCAAGCAGGAACTTTAGTTAGTTTGAAGGGAAAAAATTTATTGTTACGATTATTTGTGACATGTGTCCACATGTGAGAGTGTTTACTGGACTCTCTCTCTCTCTCTCTCTCACTGCAGCGGGTTGAAATAATGTCCTAGTTAAATATGAGACACCAAGATTTTTGTATTTGATCAAACTACTGTGTCATTTGGAAGGTCAGATTAAAAGGCAGAAAGCAAGCCCACGGACTTATTTCAGGATACTTGAAGGAAGTTAATACAGTCATTACTATTATTGATCTGTCAGCGATTAGGTTCGATCATGGGCCAAATTCTTTACAGTGGGCCTCTTTAACGGGGCACTAACACAGTTTTGAAAAGGCACCCCTGTAGTTGTGTGTTTTGTTTTCTCTGAGTGTATTTTATTTTACTGGACTTTCTATTTCTTACAAGAATGAAACAGATCTATAAAACTGGTTGATTTATTCTTGTATATGTGGGCAGATGTTACTTTAAATTTCATTTGGAAAGAAAAATTACTCCTGGACACAAGTTTATGTTGCACTACCAGACATAAATGGCAATTAATTAATTAATTAATCATTGACAGTAAACAGTGATCTGTTTCATTTAAGGTTGAATAGAAATACTGTTCCATTCAACTATATGCTTTTATACTTTTGATTTTTTACCAGCACACCACTTTTATTAGGGTATTCTAGCATTTATTAGGGTACTATGAGATGAAAATTATTAATCATATTTGTTGTTATTTGTATTGGGATTTACATAGGCCTGTTAATTACATTGTTACTTACAGTAGTTAATTTTTATTAAAGTATGAAATGGAAAACTTCAGAGACCAAACATTCTTGTTGGATTTGGTTAAAAACTCAATTAGGTACATAAGTGGGATTTGGTAAAACTTTCCAGTACATAGTGTGCCTGACGTTTTTAAGGTTATTTTGTTTGTCATTCTTCATATCTAACTAGATGTTGGCTTCGTGACCGACTTTCTCATTGTGTGGGAAACAGTCCCAGATGTCACAAAGCTAACTTACATAGAATAGTCTTTATATTTGAAGCTTTCACTCTTTTAAAAATTAAACATGATACTTAACAAAGCATGAATCCTCCACATTTGTCGGGCCGGTCCAAGTACGTTTTCAAGTGCACAATCTTCATCTCATTCTGGTTTTTATTAACTTGTTATGACCCCTGTGCTCAGTGGAATAATACCCATCACGTCAGTCATCATCAACCACTTTCCTACCCTTTTTCTTTTTTATATATTATATGTAAATAAAACAATGAGCTGAAAGCAGCAGAGTTGATTCCCTTGCTCTTCCATCCTGAGTCAGTTTCAAGCGCTGCTTTTCATTTAACACACATAAGTCATAATACCTCTGGATCACTGAACACAATTATAGTAGTTCAACTAGACATATGGACATTTACCGGCAATCAAACCCTTACCTTGGTCAGGGTTGCAAATATGTGACATTGGTAGGTCAGATTGTGAGAGGTGTTTTAAACCATGCCCAAAGTGTAGATGGAAAAATCAGCAATGTATTTCAGCAGAAGGAGAAACAGTCATTATGTCAAACACTATATGACAGAAGATACAGCATGAGAGGATGACAAAAGCTGCAAACTTGTACTCAAACTGATGGCACCCATATGCTCGTTTGCTGTTGTAAACTTAATTCAAATACATTGCTCTTCACCTGTAAGTGTTAACACTGTCTTATACCTGTATATATAAATATTCAGTGTTGCAGTCATGATATGTGACAGTTCATGTTACAGAGCACATCAGTTACTTAGTGTTTACTGCCCCCAAGTGTACTATATGTGCTGTTACCACTCATTGTGGCTAATTGATGGCCGTTGTTGACCAGTAGCACTCACAACTGGTGTACGTATGCTCTTTGATAGTTTTTTACTCATTCTAGCAATAATATGTGATCTGTTTCATAGTTCTTGAAAACACAACAAGTGGTAACACACACAGTATTTATTCTGCACGTAAACACACATCACAGGGGCCTTATAGCTAATGTATAATCAGTTGTAGTGGAATACAAACACACATTTATTGTACAAAAGTGGTTATAAATTACAGTTAGTCGACACGAAAAAAGATGCAAAATGCAATGTCACACTACTGAATAATGTATACTGTAATGTTATTAATTCAGCTGTGATTTGGCAAAAGCTACATGAAACATTATAAGACTTGCTACATCTATAGACTATGTTATCCTAACCCTAATCATAGCCAACCCATTTTACTTATCCTAACCCAGTGAGAACCAAATACTTCTTTTATTTAATGGTGAGAATTAGTAAACTATAAAGTTATAGAACACAAGGTCAAAAATGTTCATGTCAGCAACAAATGTTTTTTAAATTGCATTTGTTAAACTAAATTAATACAACTATTGCTACTACTGGAAATAATATTACATAAACAATAATTATTTCTCATACATAGGAAAAAAAACAATCTCTAAAACTTCAACAATAGGGGCATTTGAACTGACATAAATAAAACGTAAAGTAAATACACATATTGCAGGACAACGGTAAAAATAAATGTAGACAAGAATAAAGAAATAAATAGAAAAAAGGAAAAATGATAGTAAAAGAAAGTAAATTTGCTTAGAAAACCCCAAATACTCATAATTATAAAAAGTACATAAACAAGCATCTGCTCTGAATTCCCACACAAATTTTCAGTGAACACACCAGCATACACTGATATACTGTGTACACTGGTCTTCTGTACACAGACTGCCCACACACACACACACACACACACACACACACACACACACACACACACACACACATACACAAACACACAAACACAAGCAGAGGCAGAGTGGAATTTGAGAAATGTAAGTCACACACATTAGTAAACATCTAAACATCTAAAATCCTCCCACAATTCATGTCAACTCCCACTCTGACAGAAAGCTAATAAATAATGTCAGTTCTATTAGAAACCATTGCTGTGCAGTTCATTATGTAAATGTATTAATAAATGTAAAACCATCAGTTACCAACAAATAATGAAATCCACATTATAACTTAAAGACACATATGCCTACACTAATTCTGCTTTTTAAGATATAAAGCACAGTGTAAGCTGAATATCCTGTAATAGATTGTGACCTTGCAGTTTCTAGTAGCTTGTGTGACGAGGTTGTTTGTCCCTCACACGTCCAATAAAATGATTTCATACAAAAGATTTCTCCGGTTGCCTCCCCTCTCCTGCTGCCCCTGGATGTGGGTTGTCCTTCGCTGCTCCTCCAAAAACGGGCCGCGTTCTTCCTACTGGTGAAGACGAGCCGACATGCAGCAGAGCACCCCCTACCAGGAGCAGCACACAGGCCCCCCAGCCCAGGTACAGTGCCGGCCCCAGCTCTCTCTTTAAAGGCGCCGCAATGTTCGGATTATAGAAGTCCCGGATGATTACATAGGCAGTCCAGCAGATGGGTATCAAGTAGGCAAGGCCAGCCACAAGGAAGAGCACCCCTGCTATCCTGCCCAGCCGTGCCTTGGATGCCTGGTTGTTGTCACCCATGCAGTGAGTACACTTGGCCCCCGCCACCCCAAGTATGAGGGCCAGGACGCAGAGGAGCAGGGAGAGAACCGTGAGGCCCCGGGCAGCTTGGGCAGAGGTGGGCAGGGCAAGGGTGGAGTCATAGCTTTTGCACTGGATATGGCCTGTGGTCTGAGACAGGCAGTTCATCCACAGTCCCTCCCACAACACCTGGGCTATGACCAGCTCCCCACCCACGAAGGCGGACACACGCCACAGAGGAGCAGCACACACCAACGCCCCACACACCCAACCCATCACAGCCAACACCAAGCCCAGCAGCTGAAGACCTGTTGTTGCCATCACTGAGGAAACTGTAGGGCGCTCTCAACGTCTAAAAAATGTTTCGTAGAAAAACCTCAGTCCAGATTTTTTCTTGTCTTTCTCACAAGTAGGTTGCTGAGAGTCTAGTACTCAGTAGGGAAAGTCAGATCTTCCAACAGTCACTTAATAAGATGTCCAGTGATTGTGAGATGTGTGCTGAGATGAGTCCCCTTCTTCTCCTCAGTAACACACTTACTGTTAAGATGACAAGGTTTTCATCAAAATTACTTTATAAAAGCACAATTTCAATTAACTAGTAAAAGATCTGAGCTGATGCTAAATACAGCATGTAATTATGCAATAAACCAATAATATTAGTCAAAATAAGAGCATTAAACTTGCTCCATCTGGAATACTAACTTCCACAGTTCAGGCAAAACCGTATTAGCTCTAAAACTTACTTTTCAATAACTTATCAAGCAGTCAGGTCCATGGACAGTGTGTTGATGGTCCTTTGTGTGTTTCCTTGTGGTGTCGTGTGATGTGAGCAGTTGCTGTCTTGCTTCTGTTATGACTGGCCAGCTTGTCCCTCTGGATCCCATATACTGGGGTGTAGGAGGGCTGCAGTGTGTAATACTGCATACTTAATACACACACACAGAGCTAGCTATGCAAAAAAAATGACAGCACAAGGACACTTTGTTACAGACATTGCTGATTGCTGCCATGTTGTTAGTCCATATCATATAAAAGTGCAAAACCACCATTCTAGTATTATTGTGGGCCCTCCTCACATGAGGGTCCCCTTTATCTGTTTTCAGATTATATTACTTTATTGTTATCCAATGGATTACTAATTACAAAAAAATGCCATGTAATTTGCAAATAAAGTAATACATGTACAAAGTAATCTGACTCAACAGTGGCTAGTAGATACTACTGAGCACCTGAGAACACTTTAACAGCATGCAGGTGGGTAAATTAAATGTTGCATTGGCTGTACAGCCACTAGATGGCATTAGAGACACTGCCACCGTTTCCACACTGCCTTCAACATTACTCTTGTCTTAGACACTTACTTAGACACATTACTAATTACTTGCAGAAGGCGGTGTGCTGGTTTTTAGCTGCCTGGTATGATGCTGGACAGTACTGAGGCTGGCAGCAGAGAGTTTGGATTCCAAGGGCATTTGTCTTTGAGTGCTGTAATGCAGTCTGATGAGCCAAACTGGTCGACATTTTTGCATACACCCTATTTATAGTTTCCAATTCTATTCTGTTATAATTCCTTGTTTTGTGTGCAACATACATTTGTATTCATGCTGTACATAAATTACATCATGTTGTATTGTGTAATGGCAATAAAAAATAACCTTAAACCTTGATTATCAATGAATGGAACAGAGTTTCATTTCTCAGGAAACCACTAAAGGCGGAGAGAGGGAGGAACAACTAGCACACGGAAAGTTTAAGAAGATTTTGTTGTTCAAAGTCAGGTTGTACCAGTGTTTCATGGTATTTCATTCTCTACAACAAGATGGAATTCAGCTCAATTAAAGGTGTGTCTTTACTTGTGTGTATATGGAGGCTTTTTACACTCCGTATGTAACCCAGGAACGTTTCACTCTATTCTTGTCCACAGACTCCAGCTCTCCGGTAACCAACGACCTGAGGATTGTCCTGCTCGGGAAGACTGGATCAGGAAACAGTGCAACAGGGAACACCATTCTGGGACGAAAAGCTTTTGTGGCAGAGATTTCCCCATCCTCTGTGACCGAGACATGTAAAAAAGAAACCTGCCATTATGATAAAAGAACTGTGAGTGTCATCGACACCCCTGGGATCTTTGACACCTCGACTGAAAAAGACCAGCTGAAAAGAGAAATAGAGAAATGTATCATGCTGTCTGTCCCAGGACCCCATATCTTCCTGCTGGTGATCAGACTGGATAATCGCTTCACAGAGGAGGAGAAGAATGCCGTCAAGTGGATCACAGACAACTTTGGTGAGGAAGCCTCAAAGTACACGCTGGTGCTTTTCACTAGAGGAGATCAGCTTATGCAGAAGTCCATTGAGAGTTATATACACAAAAGTCCTGAACTGAGAGAGTTCATCCATAGCTATACAGCTGGGTACGCTGTATTTGACAACACACGCATGGAAAACCGCACTCAGGTGGCTGATCTGTTTGAAAGAATAGACGAGATAGTGCAGTTAAATGGTCAGCATTATACCAGTGGCATATACGAAGAGGCACAGAGAAAGATGAAATCAATGCAATGGTGGAGCAAATGTGGAGACTATATGAACACTGCAGGTAATCAGTTGTTTATATTAGCAACAGCCACAGCTCTTCCAGCAGCTGGTGCTGCTATAGTGGCAGAGGAAGCAGCAGCTGTATCCATAGGGTCATGTGTAATGCTTGGAGGTGCAGGGATTTCTAAAGCCATCGGGAGGTGGATGAAACCTAAAAATACAGACAGCTAAGTGTGTCAAGCCATGAACCTTTAATCAAATGTGTGAAGTCATTCCATGTTTTGTTTTTTTCACACATGAGCACACATTCATATTTGACTTCTGTTATTGCATTATTATTGCATTTCTTTGTTTCAATTAATTAAATCTTTTAAATGTTGATGCTGAATTGATATTGAGGATTTTGCATATGGAGAACACTACTGTAATTGTTCTGTTTGATTTGTTAAAATAAAATAAAACAATGTGACCACAACCTCAAAAGTATGTTTGATGCTGTACCACAATCTGTATTATATGAAAATGCCACTTCTAAAAGCAAAAATTCACACAAAAGCATCTAGGACTCCACACAGTTGCTTGTTTGAGATAAACCCGGTCTGGGTGGATTGATTAGAGTGAGCATACAGTTAACATGACACCACAGATATCCGCCATCAAGGTGAAAGGTTGAAATTGGCGCACACTTTTGCGTGCTAATATTTGTCTGTATACGCTACAGGTAAATTCACAAAGTCAATGAATTTATGGGGAAAAAATGCATTTTTCAACCGATAAGAAAGGAAAAATATCAGTGTGTTTACTGTGGTATTTACTGATCTTCCAATCTAACTCTCAGCAAGAAAGAGAATAAAAGTGTTTTCCAAAATGCCGCACTATCAAACCTTTAAGGGCTTAAGAAATATTAATAATTTAATAACACAATGCATTATAATGCATGCTTACTAAATGAATATACTATGATGTCTTATAACAACAATCCTGCAGCATTACAAGTATGATTATAATACTTAACTAGGGCTGTTTTGCATGAAAGATAACAAGGTTTTCTGAACATAATGGTACTCGCTGTCATCATAATGTAAAGTGTGGTCATAGCTGCCAAAATGCCTTCATTAGTTAGATGAACTATCTGGCTCCTTAACAGATAAATGCTCCACTGTGTTTATCCACTAGTTGTTATAATGGACTGTCATTTGCCACTGGACAAGTACAGTGGGCATTCTACTGAAACCTGATTATAAGAATCAATATTTTCATACTAACAATTAATTATATGACCACTTGTATGTGAAAGGATTTGCTAATGTGATGAACCCACAGGGAATTATCAACCGAGTTTCAAACAGCAAATAGTCAAAGTTGGAAAACTGTTTCCTGACTGTTTATAAGGTAATAACATGTCATTGATATCAGCGTGTTTCCCTTGTCCTGTAAGTGGCCAAAATGCAGTTTTAAGAAGGAAATATTCCCCTGCCATGTTCTTTTCTTTTACAGAGGAGGATTCCTGATGGGCATGACTCACAAACTACATAGGGCCCAGGAACAAAAGGCTCTGCAGCAGCTGATCATAACAGCTCAGAACATCATTCGCAGTCATCTACCGAGGTGACTATGACCCTGCATTGTGTAATGCCAGTAATAATTAACCTTGAACGTTGATTGTCAATACATGGGACATATCAATGGAAGTTAGTCAACTCAAATTGTTGACTAGATTTCTGGTTTCTGTCTACGATAAGTGCAAATGAGTTATAATGTCAAGTCTCCCTTAAGAGTGTACGCCAAAACTGAGATTAGGGTGTCACCTGCTCTAGTATGAGAGAAGTCTTCATCTAAACTATTTTCCTAATGTTTTGAAATTCCTTGGCAACAGCTTTCTGCTCTAGATTCATTTTCCATGAACAGCGCTGTGGTGGAAAGAGAGAAAGGGACAGAGTTTCATTTCTCAGGAAACCACTGAGGTGGGTGGAGAGAGAGAGAGTGGAGAGAGAGAGGGAGGGAGGACTAAGCATACACAAGTACAGCACAGCAAGTTCTGTGATCTGGAGGAAAGTCAGGTTTGACCAGTGTTTCATGGTATTTCTTTCTCTACATCAAGATGGGATTAAGCACAATTGAAGGTGTGTCTTTACTTGTGTGTATATGAAGGCTTTTTACATTCCTTATGTGAGATGACCCAAAACCCAATAATTCACCTTAACTGTTCCCCTGTCTTCTTGTCCACAGACTCCATCCCTCCGGTTATCCACAACCTGAGGATTGTCCTGCTCGGGAAGACTGGATCAGGAAAGAGTGCAACAGGGAACACCATCCTGGGACGAAAAGCTTTTTGTCACAGGCATGTCTCTGTCCTCTGTGACTGAGACATGTAAAAAAGCAACCCGCCATTATGATGAAAGAACTGTGAGTGTCATCGACACCCCTGGGATCTTTGACACCTCGATTGAAAAAGACCAGCTGAAAAGAGAAATAGAGAAATGTATCATGCTGTCTGTCCCAGGACCCCATATCTTCCTGCTGATGATCAGACTGGATATTCGCTTCACAGAGGAGGAGAAGAATGCCGTCAAGTGGATCACAGACAGCTTTGGTGAGGAAGCCTCAAAGTACACGCTGGTGCTTTTCACTAGAGGAGATCAGCTCATGGAGAAGTCGATTGAGAGTTATTTACACAAAAGTCCTGAACTGAGAGAGCTCATCCATAGCTATACAGCTGGGTACTTTGTGCTTGACAACACACGCATGGAAAACCACACTCAGGTGGCTGATCTGTTTGAAAAGATAGACAAGATAGTGCAGTTAAATGGTCAGCATTATACCAGTGGCATATACGAAGAGGCCCAGAGAAAGATGAATTTGGATAAACAGTGGGAAAAGCGTGCAGACACTATGAGCAAAGCAGCTGATCAGTTGTTTATGGGAGCAGTAGTTGCAGCTGTAGTTAACACCCCTGTAGTTGGTGGAGCAGCTGCATCCTTGGGGTCACTTTTAATGCTCACAGGTGCAGGGATTACTAAAGCCATTGGGTGGTGGATGAAACCTAAAAGAGACACCTAAATCTGTCAAGTCATGATCCTTTATAGGACCAGTGGGTAGGATTCAGTGGCAACTAGCTGTGCAGATGCAGAACCATTTAAATATAGCTCAGCCTGCAGCATGTAGGATAAACTATGGTAGCCGCAAAACGCTCATTCTAAGGTAACGAAAACACAACAATTCTTATTTTCAGGTGATTATACACTAATGAAAACATACCAATTTATGTCATATTCCATTTATGCTAAAAGATCCTCCTGAATGTCACACCTGGACCTTTAAGCAAACTTGTGAAGTCATTTAATTTATTGCTTTTTCATAGATGAATGCAAATTCATGTTTGACTTTTGTTGTCAAAATATTATTTAATTTCTTCATTTCATTAATGTACATTCATACACAGTCGGAGTTTCACTGCTTTGAACAATAAATTAACCTTGTATAATAAATATTTTAAATGTCAATGTACACTTTTATCCTGAATTGATATTGAGGATTTTGCTTAAAGAACACCATTGTAAAAACTTCTGTTTGATTTGTGAGAATTAAATAATTAATTGTAACGAAAACCTGTGTTTGATGTTCTGTCAAAATCTATTATGTGAAAATCCCAGTAATAGAAGCAAAAATTCCCACAAAAGCTTTCACGATTCAACACAATTGAGTTCAGTCAGGGTGGCTTCATTAGAGTGAGCTGGTACTGAGAGAACCACTGTGGATCTTATCTAAACACAAAAGCAGATCGATATTTCCCTCAGGAGATAATGGAGACTGAAACAAAGCTGGAGGAAGAGTGAACATTGAAGCTGTTGAGCCATACCGGAGGTAGGTTTATTTATTGTCTTTACCTGCAGAAAATGAATACTGTTAGGTAATTTTACAAAGGCAAAATAGCTGGTTTATTTAAAGATATAATCACTACCTACATTACAGATCATATTTTACATAATTTAAGAGTTAAAAAAAACAACTAAATTTTTAAACTAAACATAATTGAAAATGTAGGCATGTTTACTGCTGTGGTGCTTGCTAGAGTTAGGTGAGTGATCAATAATACTCTCATGTCCGCAAGCTAAAACTCATCTTGTTTATTTGATCCATGAAAACCCATGGTATAAGAACAATCAGTCTCCTCTGGTTGCCTGGCAACCTCACAGTGATGACAAGACTTCAGGAGTCAGCTGAGCCAAGACTCATCAGACACATAAACACCACACATTGCCCTTTTTATACTTAAATGTTTGTCAGCTTTAGAGTTGCTGGTTGGCCGACCTTGTTTCAGGCCAGCTGTTTGGACCAGTTTCCAGTCTTTGTGCTAAGCTAAGTTAAGCTAACTGGCTGCTAGCTGTAGCTTCAAATTTAACAAACAGACATAAAAGTGACATTGATCCTCTCATCTAACTCTCAGCAAGAAAACAATGTCAAACTTATACAATGCATAATAATGAATGTATAATAAATGAATATATTAGGCTTTCTTATTACAACGTCCAAGCACAACAAGTATGAATATAATACTTTATATAAGATTATATTAAGTTTAGTGTCAAGGAATTGTGTGGCATTATGGCATATAACATATACGACACAAATAAGTCCTTTATTAAATGCGAAATGGTGTGTTGCACGATGTAAGTGTGAAAGTGAGAGTAGACTTTCCTGTCTGTTGTAGTCTGTAAGCAGCAGCAGCTGAGTCCCACTCTGGCCCTGACTTCAGAGGCACTAATTGTGTGAGTGTATAACCTGTAAATTACATTATTATTTAAAACATCAATGCAACAGCTCAGGGTGATGCAGGTTTTAATTTAAAGTTAACTAATGTAAAACACAAATACCAAGTCATCGCTGTATGATTATGAATACAATTATTGCTTTGAAAAAGTAAATAATTTAGTACTTGGATAGAACTTTTACTTTGAGTTTATCAACTCAACCATTTTAAGGTAGACTATACTTGTTAATAAAGAACTTGGTATTTAAGAACATGCAAATGGATTTATTTTACAGTCCTATATGTTTGTACACAAAAACTTTGATATGATTGATTTCTGAAAACATTGCATAAGCACCAATGACACCTCATCAGAGCACAACAGGATAGGATTGGTAGTATATGGTATATAAAGGAAGTAACTGGAACTCATCAATGTATTCAAAGAAGCTTGTTGTACCCTACTATTTCCTAGTGGGTAATTATGTACAGTGTGTATACTGCATAATAAATAAGTAGGCTACTTACTAACCATTTATTTGGGTACTTTCTTAATAAGGATATTTTTATCTTCTACTTTCCTGATACATTCCATGTACTTCCTTGCTAATTAATTAGTACTTATTAGTAATTTTTTTATGGGTACTAAATAGTTTCTTGGTATATCTCCATGTACTTACTAAGTAATAACTTTGTACTTATTATTCTGTTCTTTTGGTACTTTTCTAATAACTATATTTTGTTACCACAGTTTCCTAGTAAATGTCTGGTAATTAGCAGACTGTAAATTAAAGTGTTACCAAAAGCTAAAATACTTTTACTTTGATCAATATATGGCTGTCCAACCTACATCCCACCATTCTAAGGCCTTTCTTGGTCATGCGTGGTGGAGCATAGTGATTGGTTGCTCTGTTTCCTCACTTAAGCAGTCGGTTGACGTCTACCATTGTCTCTCATTTCCTTAAGGGAAATGAACTCGTAATGTTACTAATAATAAAGCGAGAGCAACAGCACATCATAGTTTAAATAAAGAACGGTAATTAATCTGCATGGATATTTTATTTGAGCCATTATCACATAAGGTTTAAAAGTATAGGTTGTGCAAACATTTATTTACACAAGATGAGATCTATCAGCACAATATGTCAGTAAGTTTGAACATTATTTATTACAATTGAAACTGTTTCTCATAAACCAGAAAACATCTGTTCAAGTATAACTCCTGATGTGGGTTTCATATTTAAGCTCCATACAATAAATGAGTGAACAGAAAACAAATAGAGAGAAAACAAGTATTGCATTTCACACCGCTTGTTTACAATAAAATTCACATACTTTTGTTTTTGCAGAAAGTTGTGTCAAAACTCATTTGGAAGCAGAATGCCGAAAAGGCCCAAACAACATCATTGATTAGTTCTAAACAGTAAATAGTAATGTGTGCAGTACTAATACTGCAGATGGATCAGCATGTCCTTCTCACTACTTATACTGGAACACTTGTTTTGGCTTTGCATCTCATGCCCTTCCATATACAAAGGGCAGCTATACCACATAACACCCCCAGGATGAGCACAGGAGCTCCTAGAGCCAAAGCCACTGTTAGTTGTGCTCCCACTGCTATAACCATCCCAGCAAACACCAACACAACGGCAGCAGCCGAAGCCACGCATATATTCTTTCTAGTAACCTTTTTCTCCTTTTTTCTCTCTTTCTCTTTCTTCTCCCTCTCAGCATCCCACATTTTCTTCTCCTCCTCTTTCTTCTCTTCCTCCTCTTGTTTCCTCTGCTCCTCCTCCTCTCTCAGCTTCTTCTGGGCTTTCTCATACATCTCGTTGGTGTAGTGCTTCCCCCCGTTATCCTGTACCATTTCCTTTATCATGGTGATCAGCTCTTTGACCTGTACTTCGTCATCTGGGTCATTGTTGTTGAAAGCATGGTATCTGCGTCCAAATGTAATCGAGAGTCTCCGCAGCTCCTTGCACTCCTTCAGAGCATTGTCAGCTTTGGCCTGATCTTTACATGTAAACAGCATGATAGTGTACATGGAGGCATCATCTCCAAAGTTGTCCTGGATCCACTTCACAGCGTTTCTTTCCTCCTCGGTGAACCTTACTCCGAGCCTGATCACCAGTAGGAAAGCGTGAGGGCCTGGCACTGACATCTTAACACACTCCTCTATTCTGGATTTTAATTCTTCCTCTAAGATGCCTGTATCAAACAGACCTGGAGTGTCAATCACCTGGACCAAAGTCCCATCCACTTCTCCGCTCTGTGTTTCGCAGTGTTTGGTCACCGACATAGGGCTCGGGTCCTCTTTGAAGGCAGGTCTCCCAAGGATGGTGTTTCCTGTAGCACTCTTTCCTGATCCAGTCTTGCCCACCAGGACTATCCTCAACCCTCCAGTCAAATCCAGAGCTGGAACGGCAGATGCAGAATTAATGTTGAGCACAAGACAAAAGTGAATCATTTGAGTGTTTTTTCCCACATTAATCTGCAGTTTTGATTTATGGGCACTACTTGGGTTGCATTGGGTTGTATGAACATTTTGTATATATCGCTCTAGTATAACTTTATATAGCCTTATATTCTTAACTATCTCTGTTACATGTATGGATTTGTGTGTGTGTGTGTGTGTGTGTGTGTGTGTGTGTGTGTGTGTGTGTGTGTGTGTGTGTCTCTTTCTCTCTCTCTTCCCCAGTCCTGCAGGTGAGAGGTTGAAGATTGGAAGATTGGCTGCCAGCCTGTGAAAAGAGCCGTGGATTGGCTCACACTCCGGCCAATCAGAGACGGAGTGACCTTTGAAAAGCCTCTCTCTTGTTTTGCTCTCGCTCTGACTTTGCTTTGTTGGGTAGGAAGGTTTGTGGTGGGGATTAGGGACTGAGGTAAGACTGGGGTACCCTCTACATCTACACACGTAGAAAGAAATTGTTGTCACATCAGGTCATGGGTTGTTGCCACTGTTGTACTTTTATTATTTTTAGATGCTTTTTGTAGGCAAGACAGTCAGGCTTTTTTTCCTTTTTTTCTTTTCACACAGATAGGGTTGAGCTAGGCCCTTTATGATTGTACTTTGTTTGTTTTATTTGGCAAAACCCCACAGGTCCCTCTTCCCCCCACATTGTTCAAACCTACATTCGTTGTTTACCTTTTCACTTAAATATTGTAAATAAATCCCATTTCTTTGACTCTCACATCCTCCTGAGTTCTTCTTTGTTGGTTGTCAGTGTTAATGTCTCTATGTAAGTGGAAACATAACAATCTCTGTAAGGTAAAAATACTACAGGACACCTCAAACAACAAGTAATAGTGATTAGTACTCTCATTATTTTGCATTTTTAAACCATGGAAGTAAAACGTTCCCAAATCCTAGATACAGTATTTTTAGTTTATGACATCATCCTAATGTAAGTCTATGGGCCGAGCAGGACCACACAGGCGGGGCCAGCAGGAGAAGCACTATAATGCGCATGTGTAGTGAGCCAAAACAATTTCAAAAGTGCTGGGTGAGTGATTTTCATTCAAATAACTGGGGACCTTTCAGCAATCTGGTATCCAATTCTTATAATACTGCACAATTTTAAATGTTATAAAACCTGCTTTGCAAGTGTTTTTCTTTTTTTTATTATTTATAGAAATTGAATATATTTAACACATATTATAGATCTCAAGGATACATAGAAAAATACTGAATGTAAAAATAACTTTAACTTTAAGAGGACTGGAGTTATCAGTGTCACGTTAATAAAAGAGGTTTTCCCCGACCATAAACAGTCTGTGGTTGTAAATGTAATAAACTGCTTATAAAATTCAGGCTCCAGTTGCCCTGCTACTCTTTTGCAAACAAGATAGTAAGTGGATGAATGCTCTTCATAAGGGATTAAAAGGTGCAAGAACTCATAAGTCATTAAGTGACTAATAAGCAGTTAAGTCTGATACAGATATTAGGAAGTCATTAATAATGTAATAGTCATTCATTTTCAAAATGTGCTGAAAGCAGCTACTGTAAAAAGAGCTAGTGATACCAGAGAAGAAAAATAGGAGACAAAGGGATTTTTCACTACCTGGCAACCCAAAAGTTGATGTGAAAAACATGAATAAACTACGTATTCACATTAATAAAGCCATTAGTTTAACTTATAAAGCCTTCATACAGTGTCCCTTAATAGAAAGTGATATACAGATATATGTATGTCTAACCATACTGAGAGATTTCATGAGAGAGACAATGAATGAGCATACCGTCAAAGTTATTCAGACCACACCCATCAGACCGAGGTAGAGTTTTCTTCTTTTCTCGCAGTGGTATTGCTGTAATATGAAATTATACCATTGAGACCAACAGGAAAAAAGACTATTAGTCACTGACTTCATTATCAAGGTCTACATTTTTTTTCTTTTTCCCTCTGGTGATCTTTAACAGTGTCACAGTAAGTGTTACATCTTCCAGTGATCACAGTTTTTTTTTGGTTAGTTTTTTTAGCCTTAAGTCAGATAGATTGTCTTACCTTCAGCCATTACTTCAGATCTACCTTTTCCAGCTCCCAGGTGGCCAAATGTACTGTTCCAGGCCTGAGAAGTGAACATAGACAAGCTCTGTGGCTTGACACTTTCGTGTTAGTTTTCTGGGAAACTTCTGGAAGCCTGGCTTATGCACACAGGGGGCTTCCTATTTCCTTGTATTGTCTTTAGTTTACATCTGACAATGTGCATCCCCACAGAGGCTGTCCACAGTTCTCTGAATATGCTGAGCAGATTTTCGTGGGCATGTCTGGTATGTTTTAGAATCACAAGAGCAGCATTCAAGCTCTATAACTGATAAACTTCAGGTTATCTTAATGAGGCCTGGTTGTTTAATAGGAAGGAAACAAGAAACCTCTGGAAGACATCACATCCTTCTATTGATGTTGTGTGTTAAATATTTTAAACATATCTGTACAGTTCCAACATACAAGCAACATATAACCTTTTGAAACAGGTTGACCTATCAGCCTTAACTAATATTAATATGTATTTGTTTCAAATATGATTATGTATCTACACATTTCTTTCTGTGACATAACAGACTAGTCACGTTTAAAAAATAGATGCTAAACATACAAAAAACAATCATAAATATACTTTTAAAAAGTAGAAAAATTAAATTACCAATGAATGACAAGAAAACTGATCTTCAGACTTTATTGACATTTGAAGCCCACACAGACATATATAGTAAAACTGTATATAGCACATTCCTCATTCCCAATAACAAAACAAAGCACGCACACCGATATTTTCTATTCAAGATTTAGTTAATGGGCATCTTTGTAGAGGCTATTTCAGGCTTTGCATTTGCATCATATATTGCCTATTCCCTATTTTCTTTTTGTCACAGGTCATATATATGATGTGCAATCTAAACCAATGAGTCCAACTGCTACACCTGCCGCCATTAGAACAGGTGAGCTGGTAATCCCTCCTATGCCAACTAATGCGACGGAACCAATAGCTTTCATTTTACACCAGGAAAGCTTATTCTCCTCTTCTCTGATCCTCTCCTCCTCTTCCTTCTTTCTTCGCTCTTCCTCCTCCTCCCTCTTTTTCCTCTCCTCCTCAAGTTTCTTCTGGGCTTCCAGGTACATCTCATTGGTGTAGTGGCTTCCTCCATTGGACTTCACCATGTTCTCTATCTTCTCTAGAAGCTCTGTGACCTGGGTTCTGCTTGCCCTCTTGTCATTGATGAGTGAATGGTATCTTCCTCCACACTGGTTTATCAGTCTTTGTAGATCGATGCTCTCTGCCACATAGTCTTCCACAGATTTACCTTTTAGCAAGTCAGCATGTGTAAACAGGACTATGGTATACATGGAAGAAGATGAGCCAAAATTATCCTGAATCCACTTCACAGCTGCTTTCTCCTCGTCTGTGAATCTTGCCTTCAGACTGATCACTAACAGAAAAGCATGGGGTCCAGGAACTGACTTGTAAATACACTTCTCAATGTTTCCTTTCAGTTCTTCTGGTGATTGGTTTGTGTCAAACAGCCCTGGGCTGTCGATGACAACAATGTTCCTCCCACCATCCTTTACTTCTTCTCTGTGATAGCTTCTAGTGACAGACTCAGGTGACATTTCCTCTTTAAAGGCATTTTCATGTCCCAGGATGGTGTTTCCAGAAGCACTCTTTCCTGTTCCAGTTTTTCCAACCAGAATGAGTCTCAGGTCTTTCAGATGTGTTGAATCTGTGGGAAATTATTTAAACATTGGTGTCACAAATAAAATAGTAAATTTCATGTGGTGTGGTTTCTTATGTGTAAATATATTTGCATTCGCTCATCAAGAATTATCAATAAAAATCTCACTTGACTGCTTTGATTTAAAACATACTGAATGTGTGGTTGTATCCAACTCTGTGTATTCCCATTCAAAGTCATCAGGTGCATATTTTAACTGAACAACGCAAACACACAGAGCACCAGCCTTTTCAGCTAACTAAGCTGAAGCTATCTTTTATATAAAAACTTCACCTGGACTGCATATTGCTGCAGAATCCATAGAGATTTTTAGTTTTGGTTGTTTGACATTATGAGAAAAGAGACATTACTCATACACATTGCAAGAATGAGTAAAAAACAAACGCTTTGATGAAGACAAGAAATGTAGGCCTACTTGAAGGTATAGTGCTATGAGGATAAGCCATGTCTGTGAACTAAGTAGCGTTAGAAAACTTTGTTAGTGTTAGCTCACCTACTAAAAGGCTTTATCTACAAGAGTTTATGAAGTGATGCTACAACAGCATGCAGTGTCCAGCAGGCTACACGGATTATTAACATGCCAGGTTGGTAGCTGTTAGTGATGGGAATTCCGGCTCTTTTTAGAGAACCGGCTCCTTTGGCTCGGCTCACTAAAAAGAGCCGGCTCCTTCGGCTCCCAAGTGGCTCCTCGTATTTTTTTTTGCTTAAATTAATTTATTACCAAATTATGTGTAAAATGAATATCTAATGTAAATACATGCATTATATCAAATGTTTAGTATTTATATGGATTTATTAATACACTCAACATGGAACAGTGCTACAAAAAAAATTATAAAACACAAGAACAAAGACTTAATTTAATTCTTAATTAGACAAAAAGATGCTTGATATGAAATGTTTAACTTTGCACAGTGTACACTCTGCCTTTGAACTATCACATTAAAATGTGTCCAAACTTTACTAGGTTTCTCATTTTCCTCACCCTTTCCAGTGTGTAGTCTCTGTCTATGTAGCGCCAAGGTCTCTCGCTCTCACGTCTCCCTCCCACCTGTTCACGTGCTCACTGTGCCCTGTGTGTCTGTAACCCCTCCCTCCCCCTCCTGCTCAGTGTAGATACACAGATGCCGCCACACATCTTGACCAATCACGCGGCTTTAACAGGAAAAAACGGGAAAATCTGGGAAAAAAATCCGGATCTGGCTCCCAATCAGGAGCCGGCTCCCGTCGTTCACTTCAAAGAGCCGGCTCTTAGAGCTGGATCGTTCGCGACCGACCCATCACTAGTAGCTGTTGGTAGTTGAAACTGTTCAGCCACGAGCGCTTTAAATAAAGCAATATAGCAAGCCACAAATAATAAAAAGTAAAATGAGCCTGCGGAAGATGGAAGAGTAAACTAGTACTGTAAATTATTATTTTTTATTTTCTCAATAGATCATATTATATAATATATTTATAGATATATTCAATTATTTTTGACTGAATACAATCTTTTTTAGCCTATATTTTGTCAGTTTAAGGGCTCCGTATTTCCTACTCTCCTCTTACGACACACCTGCAGTGCCGGTGACATTCCTTCCTTTAACATACAGTGTAGCCTACCTTTGTGTTGAGCTTGGCAATGAGCAGTGTGACTGCAAAATGTGACCAGCACAAGCAGGGTGCAAACTTGGATCCAAGCTTTTCCTCGCAACATCCCTGAAGCAGTAAAATCTGTCAAAAACTTTACGGACAAAAGAAGAAAAAAGGGAAAATCTATTTAAACAGGTGGCAAATACATGTTTCTAATAAATAAATTACAAAATATATGGTAACGTAAGTGGTTACGTAATTAAACAATTTAGTCACAGGAAATATAATAAAAAATATAAAACAATAGGTGTATTATACTTAATCTAGCCTACCTGTACGAGTCTCCTCAGCTGTATGATATGTTGGCAGGTGGAGAGACTATTATATGTCACAAAAATCATAACACACCCACTTTTCAAATAACAGGGATGCTGAAATGCACACACAGAGCAGGCTAAAGGAGGAGGGAGCCATCTACTGGTGGCAGGAGGGATGGCATCGGTTCAGGTTACAAAACTGTGTGCACTGACAGCAAGCAGTCCTGGAAACTGAAATTTGTTCGTGGTCAGTGAAAGTGACTGAAGGGGTTGAGCCCCCTTGACAACCTCAATGTCAGCTTCTCAACATACAGGATCATAGCCATGTACAGCCCGCTACTACTAACTCATTTGTTTCCTATACATTGATCTTGGAGTATTTCAGACAACATCCCTCCCTAACTTTGACTAGACCAGTGCTCTGCCTGTCATAATGTACTTCAAATCTCTATGAGCCCAAGGAAAAGGGCCTTGGTTGAATCTATTTGTAAAAATCTTATTTTCTTTTCCTCTTAAGAAATATTGTGATGCATATGTAGCCCACCGCTAACAACACAGACCTCCCAAATCATTACAGGATCATCAATATGAATCTTTATTCATTGATGACGGTAATGTGAATGTGCATAGTGGTGGCTAGAGGTAGGACTGGAAACAAGCAGATTTGGAAATGATGAATGAATGTTACTGATATTAAAAACTGAACGGGATAAACAGTGCCAGCGTCATGAAAATTGAACTTTAAATGACTGACTTACAAAGTGGGGACTCCAACAAACCTTAACTCTAACATCATCCAAACATTTTAAGTTTCAACTTACACACAAAAAACACTAGATAACCTTTTGAAATATCTGGCCTCACTAATACTCATGTATATTTTTTGTTTTAAAACTAATACTGTTGATATTTGGTGTCCTGACTGAGGTCCACTCTTACTTGTAAAATATGATTTTGTTTATAATCAGGATTGTGTATCTACGTATTTTTTACTTTGGAATTACAGCCTAGTCTGCCTTTCCTATGAATAAACGGTGACCATACAAAAAGCCATTGAAGATACAACATTTAAAAACAAAAAATTAATTAATTAAGCAATGTAGGCCACAAGAAGTAAACTGAACTTTAGCCTTTATTTCAATTTCTTTAGCCCACACAATCACATAGAGAAAACCTGTAAATAACAATAACAAATAAAGCATGCACACTGATATTTCTATTTCAGGTTAACAGGCATCTTAATAGAGTTAATCTCAGGCTTAGCCATTAAATTTACTTGTTTTCCAAACTACCCAAAACTAGTATAAACACATGTTTAATGAATTCTTTCAAGTTTTTTGCCCCTTCAGTGACTGCTTCTTTTATTAGATAGACAACTTCGGGGTTGTTTTGATATAACTTAACCAAATCACCTAACCTCATCACCATTTCAGACCAATCCTTCTTTCTTTGCTCTTCCTCCTCCTCCTCCCTCTTTTTCCTCTCCTCCTCAAGTTTCCTCTGGGCTTCCAGGTACATGTCATTGGTGTAGTGGCTTCCTCCATTGGACCTCACCATGTTCTCTATCTTCTCTAGAAGCTCTGTGACCTGGGTTCTGCTTGCTCTCTCGTCATTGATGAGTGAATGGTATCTTCCTCCGTACTGGTTTATCAGTCTTTTCAGATCTATGCTTTCTATAATAACTTTTTTTTAACTTTCAGATGGTGAAAAAACTGAAACTATATTTCATCATAAATTCTTCACCAGCCAGTGCATGTTAACCATCCACATACTGGACTGCATATTGCTGCAGCATCATTCTATATGTACTTGTAAATGTAGCAGAAGTATTTTAGCAGCTATATTTTTGACTACTCTCATAAACTTATTTTGTCAGTTTAAGGACTCCATGTTTTTTACTCTCCTCTCATGACAAACCTGCAGGGCCAGTGGCATTGTTTCCTTTTATATCAGGCAGGCTACCTTTGTGTTGTAACATTAAACTTCCATTGAACCTAACGCCATACCCTGTCTGCCCTCTAGTGGACACCAGGAAGCATGACACTGAACCAGAAAGGAACATTGTTCTCCACTGCATACCTACTTTGTTCTTGTTTTTAATCACTGTCACTGTGTTTTCTTGTCTATAAAACAATTATGTAACACTGTGGAAACGATGTCTTCATCTATACACAATGTATATACATATGTGTGATGTACTTTGTATTGCTTTTGGCTGTGGATTTGACCAAATAAAATGACCAGCAGAAGCAGGGTGCAGAATTTGGTCGGAGCTCTTCGTCGTAGCATGTCTGGAACTGTCAACTGCGCAAAAACAGAAAGAACATATTTTAAAACAGTATAGGCTAAGCTGAGAAGAGAAGTTGGAGTAATAAAGTTCAAAAGTTCCCTTTGAGGAAAGTTGTGTTAGGCCTTGAAAATTGGGGATAAATGATCACAAGAATTATGTCACAAATGAGGAAATATATACAGTAAAGTACCTATAACTCTCATTTATCAGCACGGAGTAACTTAAACACGGTAAACTCTCACAAAACTAACAAAAGTGCATGAAACATATTATACAGATGACAGTGCAAAATAGATTACAAGTACAAGTGAATTCACACACACGACCCACAAAACTGAGCAATAACTTTCCCTTAACAGTCATATTAGCAAGTTACAGCTAAGTTAACTCTGTTTAAAACCAACAACATACCTGAAAATGGATAACTACAAGGGTGACAGGGTCAACATGTGTCCTGAGAGCTTGAAAGTGGAAAAGAAAGTCGTGACATGCAGTTCATGTAGCTCTCCACAGTCCCTCCCCCAGCAGAAAGCAGCAGATTTTTAGATTTTAGATATTTAAAATGTGACACACAGCACTATGTTTTGGGTATAGTGGCAGATACAACTTATTTCCAGTAAAATCAGTCTAGCAGTTTTTTCAACGGAAATTCCCTTACCTTTGACTATTGATCTAACAGGCTATGTGAAGTTTTAGTTTCCAGTTTTAACAAAAGGCTGACAGAGTGACGCTTTGTTTCACTTTGTTAACATAGAGTACTGAGTTCACCAACTTTAAAAATCACAGGAACAGGCAGATTTCCTCAAAATGGGACTTTTAAGGTTGATTTTAACTCTGTCATGATTTGCATGTGTGTATTTAAAGGTCTGATGTATAACATTTACGAGGGTCTACTGGCAGAATGTAGTATAATTGCCATGTTGAACCACCATATTTAGCCCAGAACGGACAAACCAAACACGTCCACCATTGTTGTTCGTACGCGCTTGGAAGGCTGAGTTGTATTCAAATGGTTGCAATCTGCAACCTTACCACTAGATGCCACTAAATCCTACACACTGCTACTTTAACAAAGTCTAATTCTCTAATACACTGTCAAAGTCGCTCAAATCAAAACCCGCCCATTTTTCCTGCTTCTAACACATCAACCTGAGGACAAAATGTTCACTTGCAGCCTGATATATCCCACCCACTGAACGGTGAAGTGAACAACACTGATTATCTTATCATTGAACCAAAATGTGTTGTATTCTTGTTTTCAATCAGCTTTAATAACATAGCTGAGATCTACTTGATTCCTAACCATCATTCCAAAACACAAGTATGTTTTGAATGAGCAGAAATCTTGCTGAAACAGATATGAGGTATTAAAATGTAAAAATAAATTATTAATCATTGACATGAATAGGTCACATTAAATGTGAAAAATTGATCTATAGAGAATAAATATTTGAGGGGGATACAGAATGTCTGAGAGCCCTTCCTGCATTATATTGTATTATATTTTGAATGGTCAGCTGGAGCCTGATTTCTTTTCCTTTAGGAAATTGGGCATATTGGTGCATAAAACATAATTATAATGCAGGAAATAAAGTAAAGTGAAAGACTTTGGTCAATAGTGAAAGATATAAATGAAAAATACAAGGGTATCATAGGTTTATCATATCATCAACAATCATATATTTTTGATAGTGTTGAAATCCAATCAAATAGCCTAGATGCCCCCTGGATTACTGTTAGCTCCGCAGCTAAGCAAGTGGGCATTTGTGCTGTGAAATAGAGAAATGATAAGGTTAGGCGTGTGTGTGTGTGGATGCTGCTTTGTGCTGAAACGGAGTGGAGGAAATCAATAGACAGACAGACAGACAGACAGAACACGTCACTTAGTATGGTTTCAGCCTTCCTGCTTTCTGTAAAACAGAATTTTATTTAATCGTGCTACGTATCATATCGCCAGACTCCTGCCATCCTCATGAATGTTACATAAGGGTACAATCTTTTTAACCCCATCACAGATTTTGTGTGTGTGTGTGTGTGTGTGTGTGTGTGTGTGTGTGTGTGTGTGCTTGTTCCATTGCTGTCATTACATTTCTGTCATCTAACTGCGTGACAAGCCGCCTTCCATCCTTATCTTTGTGGCATGATCTTGCTCCTGCTGCTATGAACTAGTGACTGATTGGACAAACACAACTTTCCATGTGCTAGGTGTAGACTTGCCACCCCTTGAAATCATAGAAAGTCAGGACATGGTGTGATGACAGCAGTTAGTGGACGCTCTGATCCTACTGGTTTTGTGTTTTCAAAGTCAGGGGGTCTGAAATTATATTAAGTGACTGAAGATGCTTGCATATTTGAAGACAAGCTTTGTTCCAGATGATACCTTTACAAACTAGCCAGACAAGTTAAGTTTATGTACAGTATGTGTCTCAGTGGGCTTTTCAAGGAAAACTGAACAAATGTATTATTTTCCTCCTGAGAATCTAAGTCAGACCTTCCATATATCCTATAATTTTGTGTGGGCAGCACATCCGAAATGCATTGGGTTTACAGAACTGGAGGCTTATTGTTGTGAGTGGCCTTAGCAGAACAATTGTTCCTGTGAATGACAAGGCAAGAAAAACAGCATCACGTTTCAGCAGTCCATGAGAACAGGAACATATGTGAATCCTCCCCACGTGCAAACAGAGGCAGGAGCATCTGTTTGGCTGGATGTGTGTCTGGCTGTCTGTGTGTCTTTGTGTGTGTGGTGATTGCTATAACAAAGCACAAGACGCCAAGTGCCACTGCACGTGTAATAAAGTCATTGGGGCCACACAGCTAGTGAAAATGGCTGCAGTTTCCTGCAATGTGAACTTCCCAGCACGCGACAGCAGAGAGGCAAAGTTCAGACTGGCTTATTGCAGAAACAGAACCATGAACAAACAGCCATTAAACATATTATAGATCAACCAAACAATACAAAACAATATAATTCACAAAATAATTTGCATAAAACATTTTTAACTTGCAAAATATGTTTCTTTCACTCTCCATCCTTTGATTAATGTTCACAGATGTTATTCAAATTTGCTTCACTGATATGACTGATAGATATTGTCAAAGCGAAACATTTTACACAATCAGCTTTACTGTATGTGACAGATAATTATCAATAGCCCAACCGTAGCTTAGTAACTGTAACCAGATGTTGAAGTGATGTGCATGCTACTGTAGTAAGAGTGATACACGTACAAAGAGTTGGCAGGGTTGTGTCTTCTTTAGTCCTTTTTCAAAACCAAGAACACAACAAGTGTTGATTAAACATGTTTATCTGCATTAGCTGAAGTGGTGGTTAATAGCAGGCTTAGAGTAGTAACCCAGCACTGTACTAAAGCACATTATTTTGTGAGGTTTTTTGTTACTTTGAAAGCCCAATTCACAACAGGTGCATTCACTGAATTGTATGTTCCCATTATGTGGAAGCTAACACAGTTCAGGCTAACATCAGTGCCTTTGATCCTAGTGATGGGAATTTAGTGACATTTTGGTTCAGCTCAACAATAAGAGCTGGCTCTTAAAATTCAACCAGATTTAGCAATGTTTTGATTGATATGTGTTCACATATATTCTTATAATTTCCAAAATATCATAATTATACATTATGCTTGGTATAAAAACCAAAACCAAAGCATTTTCCCTTACTAAAGGACAAACCAGCAATATAAGAACAATGTGCTATTGTCAATTGCCTTTTTTCTCTCATCTTCTTTTCCTCTTCTCTTTTCTATTTCTTAGCTTATATACCAGTGCTCCTTGTTGCTCCTCAACACTTACATATACATGCACACCAACACATGCATGCATGAAGCCATGGAGCACATATTTATGACCCCCCCTTAGGTTTTTCTCATTTTAAATAAATTTTGGAGACATTAAAAGCCTGCTGGAAAAAGCCTCTACAATCAATTCATGCACCTAACACTAGCGTTATGAGCTAGTAGTTATAGCTGACATTAATTTGTCAGTGACAGTTGTTTATTGTTGTACCTCCGTCTGAAATCAAGGACCCATTGTTCCCAAAAATAGTAAGTTCAAGTATACCTGATCCCATTAGGCAAGGCCTACAGCGTCCTCAGTGTAGGAGAGCAGGAAGCTTAACAGGCCTAACAACAAGGGGGTCTTCAATAGGCTATAATTTCTTTGTGATCAAATATTGTTATTTTTCTTTTTGGCTAGTCAACAGAAAGAAGGATAATACGCACTGATGAATGCTGGCAGGAAAAACATATGAGTGTGCAGCTTTGGCCCAGATGAACTGATGATTGAAGACTGAAGAGCAGCAGGTATGGGGAACCACTTCCACTGCTGAACCCTTGAATGGCATAATAGGAAAACAGGTTACAGGTCTTCAGATTTTTCATTAGTCCCCTGACTACTATGTTTAAGTGGGTTTTAGCCTTATTCTTCCCTACCAGCTTTATTAGGAGAACTTCTTTCTACTCCAAAAAATAGGTTTTGTATGTGGTCCCCAAATCTCTCTGAGTTTCGCCCGACCTCAGCACAGACATTATTATGAGGCTTTCAGGCATCAAGACTCACATATCCAAACTACACATCTTTACAATGGTACCCAATTAGAGCTCTCTGAGTAAAGAAACTACTCTCACATGTTTTCTTTTTTGAGAAAAAGGAGAGCTGGGTACTGACATGGTGTGATTGTCACACTGAATGCGTGTAGAAGAGGTACGAGAGTTAACACTTTTATCACTACTTTTTGGTTGATAGCGTAGGAAGGGTGTTATTACTAGTCCATTTATCACTGCACATGAGAAGCAGTGTCATTTTATCTTGCTTGTTACTAATGGGCACAGAAAGAGACTGCTCATAGGTGATCATCATGTGAAGTCTGTTGTAAATGTAAAGTCTGAGTGGTATGTTTTCTGCCACACAAACATTTCTTAATATGAACTCAGAAGCAGGGCCAATGGAAACACATCTACAGAACCTCCAGAACCGTCACTGAATCCAGCACACACAGCAAAAACATCCAGCTTAATCAGCATGGATGTGAAAGCTGTATAACTTGTGTTAGCCTCGCCTGAAAGGCCCACAGAGTGACAGGCCTATCGGAGAAGTCATTTAAAGAGTAGTGTAGGATGCGAAGGTATAGGCCAACTGGAAACCCCGGCTTTAATCTGGTTGTTTTGCATGTGTGGGATTCAGGCTGTGGACCTCTGGCAATCACGACTCAATGGGCAACACACACAAACACACACCTATATGCACACAGGAAGATCTAAAAAAGAGTGGGCGACAGAAGGAGTTGCTATCTAATAGATTTCTGAATATAGGTTATGCAATAATCAAATGATCAGTTTCCTGACTCAACAACCTCCCACTGTCCCCTTCACACACACACACACACACACACACACACACACACACACACACACACACACACACACACACGATAGATAGATAGATAGATAGATAGATAGATAGATAGATAGATAGATAGATAGATAGATAGATAGATAGATAGATAGAATAAACGAGCCATTATGATATTCAAAAATATTTTATTTTGAAAACATAATCTCAAGTCTATGTAATTAGACAACGATAATACATTATATTTACATGAACATCAGTGCTTTATACGTTGTTTTATTCGCTCAGTAACACTTCGTCTCATTCTCTGTTTGTCTCTCACTGAATCTGACATTTTTCCAGCGCTTTGCCGGGCTTTCTTCCCGTATTTGGCCCGATAACTTGTCGGAGATCCGTGCTAAAACTCGGCCGCCGAGCCAGTGGATGCAGGGCGCCGCAGGGGTCATCGCGCCCCGGGGTCTGACACCCTCTCCCCGCCACACGGCCAGTCCGCATGGCCTGGTAGGAACGGAGGGAGACCTTGCGATGCTGAGACGGGCCAGTTTCGGTCGGAAGCCCGCCTCGCTTTGCCAAAGTCTCGAAGACTTTCTCCAGATTGGTGCTGTCCTTTGCAGACGTTTCAAAATAGGCACAGTCATCACCGAGGGCTCGGAGTACCTCCGCCTTGGATATTCCACTCTCAGACTGCAGGAGATCCACCTTGTTGGCGCAGACCACCAGGGGAATCTGCAGCTGTGCGCACTGCTCCGGCACAGGAGGTTTCATTAGCTTGGATTTAGCGGCCAGGATCTCCGTTCGCAGGGCGCAGACCTCTTGGAAAGAGCTCCGGTCATTTAGACTGAATACTAGAAGAAAAATGTCTCCTGCAAAAATATTCAAATGGAAAATAAATCAATTATTTCCCTGTAATGGTTGATTTAAGCATACACATGCACTCTTCAAGAGAGAGAATTATGCATTTACGCATGCACCCATAACCTGCCCTTTCTGGTCTATTATTTGTCTGTTATGACAAATAAAAAACTGACAAGTTTTTGCAGGACATAGATTATGACTGAGCCAATACGCACCAGTGAGGATAGACAGTCGCCGCTTGGCTGGGAAATCCCTTTCCCTGGATGCGTCCAGGATGTCGATTTGGTAGGTCTCTCCGCGGATACGAAACAGTTTTCGGAGGAAATCCTCGGAGGTGGGATTGTACTCCTCCACAAAGCCGTCCCGAAGGTATCTTCTTAGGATGGAGGTCTTGCCGACTCGTGGCGCACCAAGAACCACAATGCGCTTACAGTTCTGCGGCTTGGTAGAAGTAAGTGGGTGGTCTTGGCCCACCTGGCGCTGCCTCGTTTGCCCGTGGAGGACCAGAGTTGCCAGCTGATCCAGTGGGGATCTCTTGCAGGGATATGTGGTGTTTGCAGTGGACAGCTGCCTTACGGTCGCCCCTGAGCGCGTCTTCTTCTCCTGTTTCCACTGAGACGTCGCCACTTTAAGTAAGCCCAAGCCCGCTTTAAGTCCCGACGAACTCAGGCGCTGCGACGCGTTTTTGTAAGCCAGTAAGACTTTGGAGGATCCGGCGCACTGCCCGTCCATATTACCATGAAACTGGGGGCCATCCATGGTGGAGCAGCTGAGCTGGTGCGGGACAGGGATGGAGGTGGTTTGTGCGCCGGTGGAGATGCTGCCCATTTCCATCGTTGTAGGAGGATTTTGGCCCGTGGTTCCGAGCAACAAAGTGGGAACAATCTGTGATCTGACGTTTTATAGGCCTGCTGGAGCTGGTCTTTGGCTGATGTCAGCTTTCTTTATATAGGCTATCCTCAACCCCGTGGTTCATCCGCGTCATGCTGATTGACAGAAGGAGTTGTGTTCTTCAGGAGAACACCATGTTTTCAGGAAACTTAATGTGTAGGCTAATTATCATTATCATTATTATTATTATTATTATTATTATTATTAATAGGTTAGTGTTATTGTTATTAACCTAGATATAATAGGCTACATAAACTTATAGGCCGACTTTTTTTTTAACTCCCAACATTCACACACTTTTGCTATGGTAGCCTATATGTTGGCTGTAAAAGAAGGAAGCAGAAGAAAAAGAAAATAAAAGAAGAAAAGAGAAGACTGTCCTATACATTTGTCTCTAAAATACAGTAATATTTATTAAAGCTCCTTTTTGCTTTGGTCTTGTTCCCTTTCTTTCTTTTCTTTATACAAGAGGCATATCTTGTTGATTTATATAGGCCTGTTATTATTCTTATTGTAAGTTATTCTTTTGTTATTGTTATTTGTTATTTTTTTGTGTTTTTTGTTTTGATTAATGCCAAAAAGAAAGAAAGAAAGAAAGAAAGAAAGAAAGAAAGAAAGAAAGAAAGAAAGAAACTCTCGTTGCTCTGTGGTTTTTAAGCGTCTGTTGCCATGGTAACGGTCAGAGCAACACATAACTTACTTGCGCTTGAAGCGAGGCGCTAGCTCGGTTAGCATTGCTAACTATCACTACATTAACGTTATATTTATCGGTGACTGTTGTTTTAACGGGAGTTTGGACGGAATGATCCGCGGGGAGTCAGCGAAGAAGGAGTTCCGACCTCTCTGTAACGCAGGTCAGCTACAGCACCACCCTCCGTGTGCCTCCGCCTCTCTAATGTTAAGCTAACTGTTTGTAGCACTGCTGAGCCAATGCTCTATGAAACGTTTCCTCTTTATTCAGCGGTGGAAGAACTAATCTTTAAATAACTGAAGCAACAATAGTCAAAGTAATCTGTTACAAGTTAAAATCCTGCATTCAAAAATGGAGACTAGTTAAGTAAAAGTAGCCTACAAAAGCATCAAAATATTGCTCGTATCCGAAGAGAAAGTAGTAATTAAGTTACTCGTTATTTCAGATATTATGTGATTATTGTTATTGATGATGCATTAATATATGCACATCACTTTAATGCTGCGGCTGATGATGAAGGTGCAGGGGGGACTTTTAACTTGGCTAGGCCTGGAGATTTCCCCCTAATCTGAAATATAATACATCAAAATATTTTTGTTGATAATATTTAGTTTAATAATCTGAATATGCAGAGTAACTAGTGAAGTTGTCTAATAAATGCAGTGTTAGTGGAGGACAATATATCCCTCTGAAATGTAGTAAGTATTAAGTCTAAAGTAGCATAAAAAAGTAAGTCAAAATTGTACTTGTACAGTATTTGATTAAATGTACTTGCATTGTAATTGTAGTTGCATTGCACCACCATTTTTACAGTTAGGTTGGGAAGCAGAGAGTCGATGTGGATCTGATGCAGTGTCCTTCCTCGAGGGCCAAGGGCATCTTTCACTTCCAGCAAAGCAAAGTACTTATCTGACAAACTGAACTGAGTCTGTGGATGAAAACATTGAAGCCAAGGACTAATAATTGTTGTTGTGGCCATGGAAACTATAATCAGGCCAGTTGGATAAAGACAAATTAACAGAATTGCATAACCATGTCAGTGTTCCAGGGTAATCTCTTTGTGTCCGCATGTGGGTGTGTGTTTGTGTGAGCACTGATGGTGTACTTTGCACACAATGAAGTTGAATCTCTTTTCACTATTTAAAATGTTGAAACCAGGGCATTACTAATAAACAACATGGATCATTATAATCTGTGTGTGCAGAGATTCCACAGGTTAAGTATATACTTTTAAGTATTACAGCAGCACCCACTCAACATATTACTCAAACACACACACTGTTTCTCCTCTCTTCCAGAGAATAAGAAGCTAAAAACATCAGAGGAGTTGCACATCTTGGTTGAAAGCCAGTCAAAAACCTCCACTCTCAGAGGCAGGGACATCCAGGCTCTGGCCATTAACCCACAGGACCTCCATAAAGTAAACCCACTTCATCCATATGCTGTATTTGCCATTTGTTGGAAAATTACTTTGCTCCCCCAAACAAGATACAAATTATGTGTGTGTGGCAGCAGGATACATTTATTCTGAAGCTTTTTTTTTCATTATTATTTAACTGAGTATGTGATTATGACTGCAGCTTCATATACCAAAGCCACCCAAGGGCCGTCAAAAACCAGTGCTCATAGCTTGTGTGAGTAAGACACAGCCATCTGATGAAGATAGAAATTCCGTGGGTCATCCAGTGAACCTGGACCTTGACTCTCAAGCTCTGGGCTACGCAGGTTAGTTGTATTCTTTCGCCCTCATGGATAATAACATACAGTACAGTAGCATATTGAAACATAAGTGATGTTGTCTTAGTCATAATATGCATCCTTAAAGCTAAAACCCCACTTTTTCTCTGTCCATGTTCTCTTTTCACGATTGGAAGGGATTCGGTTTGATGAACAAGGCATGATTCTTCCACATAGCATCCTGGGCAGTTTAGAGGATTTCAGACGTTATCTGGAAGCCAAAGGGGAAACAGAGGTAAATTCAGAACCAATATAATGGGAACACATGAAAAGAAAATGTATTTAATTTACATACAGTATTTAAAACCTGTCAAGCTGCTGCGTAAGTTACCTCTAGTTCCTTCTATCCTCGCTCCACCTTCCAGTTGGCGAAGCGAATACCAAAGTCCCAGAAAGATCCATATGAGGCCCCAGTGAGGCGTCACTCTGACGCCGTGGACAAAGGGCGTGAGCTCTCCTCAGACTCCAGAAACATCCAGAGTAATGCCCTGCAGCACTGGCATACACATATGATGCAGCGCAGACGGCAGCAGGGCTTCTTATCTGGTGAGCAGATTAGAGAGTACAGCAACCTGCGCCAGAAATGGAACTGTTTACATCATTATTACAACCTTAATCTGTATACTACAGCAGGGAATCTCAGATAAGGTTTCTCTTTTAAAGCAAATAAGTAATGTTATTTGATTTCCTTTGTATGCATTAACATCTCCTCTCCATCAATCTATTTCTCTATTCACCTTACGCCCTTTTCAACTCTTTCAAGACTTGCTTGACAGGCCAGTCGAAAACTTACTGATGAACCAAGCAAACCGTTTCAGAGAAACTCAGGAGCAGAGGGAATTTCTAAACCAAGCCATACCACTCATCCACTCTGGATATGTATGTCTCTTATTTGCTTTCTTTGCTCTACTGTGTCTTTAGTTGTCTGTCATACTCATATTTGTTATATTTCTACAACAAATAACATTTCTAAAGCTCTGTTATCATTTCCTCTGTAGCGTCTTCAGTTGTGTGTCTTTACTTGTTTTAGGGTTATCGTGTGGGCAGTGAGTTTTGGAGTCTCCCCCAGCGTTATGGAGATGAAATGAGTGGCATCTCAGCCACTCTGACTCAGACGGAGCAGGGCAGACGGGGACCTGTCACACATGTAGGACAACCAAGCAGCGTACGCCAGGAATCAGGTACACACAGACACCTACAGTACACCATGCCCCAGTTCTTCCCTTCTGCCTTGTTATCAACCCTCTTCCTCCTGATTGTGAGTTCACATAAAACCAAATGGTGTCCCAAATTGAAAAAAAAATGCTCTGTGAAGTTAAATAGGCCCACAAAAGAAGATGAATTGCAAACAGAGGTAATGCAACGTAAATTGGATGTGTCTGGTTGCATACAGCATCCAAACAACAAAAGACGAAGAAGAGCCTCTTTTTACGGGACTACTCTAAACTGAGAGCTATATTCTCTCTGTGGGAAATGTTTCATCCTCTAGGAATAATCTGTGCTGGGACTCTGCGTCCAGCCTCTCGGACTTGGGACCAGAGTGTATACCTGCAGCACCGGTGCCAGGAGCTTGGAGAGGTCCTGCAGGACTTGGACATCAAAAAGCCGGTAACACAAACATATAAACTCTAACACTGAATGCTGCTTTGGCTCAGTAGCACTTCAAATTAATACAATTGGTCCTATTGTAACCTTGCAATAATCCCCTTAAACTCATAACATTTCTCATAACAGTAAAAATGTAAAAGGTTGAAAAGGTCAAAGGTTTTTAATGAGAGGTAGACCAATACATAGGCTGAGCTAATTGTGGATACATGAGTATCAGCGTGTTTGTTGGCTGTTAAGCAACAACAAATTACAGTATAGAATTTCCACAGATAATGTGGAGTCCACCAGAGATGGCTTTTAATTATATTCTCTAGCTGTAAAATATTCCACTCAGCACATTCTTTTAAAATTTTGTATATAAATATAATTACATTGGATGTATTATATACTTAATCAGGTTCTTATGAGTTGCCAACAGCCTGTTGGCATTTCCAATAAAGCATGACAAATGACAAAAACATATAAATAAATGTATAAACATGTCAAAGTTGGAGGTATTCATTACTTTTGGGTACACTGGTGATTGTGTGATGCAACACCATTAGATATGTAATGTATGGTAGTCCAGGGTGCCTTTTGGAGTCCACCACTGTGGGCCCAACTGCAAGCCACCTTTTTGCCTATATTTGTCTACATTTTGCTGAATTGGCACCAGTAAGTATGCCGAATTGGCTAGTAGCAGTTCCTGTTCCTGTACCTATCTCTGTAAAGACAACTATTACTGGATTCCTGTGATTCTGAAGAAAACGTAAAAGTGTGATGGAGTTATAAGGAGTGTCTTTTTGTCTATGATTTCTAAGCACACGTAGGGATTCTTTGTTTGAGATTGATATTCCCAGAAAGTGTAATCCACACTGAACCTGAAAATATATGTGTCATGTCCGTTTCCATTAGACTGGGTTACAACTCAGTGAACAAGCGCCATTTTTGATGCAATTTGCAGAAATTGACACAGCTGAAGCTTCAGCTGCTGACTGTGTTAGTGAGCGGGCCAAATCAGTGGTCCAAACTACAACAACCTTCAAGAACCTTCAACCTTCTTGTTTTTAGAACATCGTTCATGCAGCTGTCCCTTCACCTCTGTCCATCACAGTTTGAAAACTTGACGCCACAATCCAAATCACATATTATTCACATTACACCTTGTTTTGCTGTTCTAACATTGTACAATTACCTAATTTCACAAACAACTTAATTTCCATTTGTCTTCCAACCACACATCCCACTGAAGCTGCTCACACCCTCAGGACACTCTGTCTCTAGCTGCTGGAGCTGCTAGCTGCTCATGATCAGTCTGTATCTTAAAAAACCCTGTGGACATCCAGCCATAGTTCTTTTTTCTGAGGAACAAACCACAGCACATGGCCAAGACAGACCACCCAATGCCAATGCACGCCCACACAAATACACACATGTATGCGGGCGCACAGGC